TCTGAGCATGTCATTTGAGCATTATCGATTGAGTTTTTGCCGTTCACTACTGTTGCCGAGAATGGGTCTTGTTTTCCCTGTGTTATTTTCCAGTTATGTTTCTCTCACTGTGGTAGTTTTAGATCAACTGATTGATACTCAATATAAAACTCGGGGAAATGCCTGCACTAATAATTGTCAACCTTAAATCAATCTTGTTTATTACTTTTAAGGTTTTAGTACTGAATTATTACATAACTTATGTAAATATATTGTATTAGATTTGTGTGAACATTTGATGGTCTACGGAAGCATATTCCCGTGTTTTGCATATGAAGAAAACCACCTTCCTGGGAGGATTTGTGTCTTGTAGAATATGAAATTTGCAACTTGACTGTTTCAAATGGATTCTGCATCAATTTTTACAGATTTTTATTCTACTTTATTATTATTTTCTGGTGGTGGTGGGTTGAAGCTCCCACTAATGTTCTTCTACACCACTGCCTTAGGTTGAAGCTTCCATTAATGTTCTTTATATATGAGACACGTATATATACATATATATAATTTGTAATTTTATCAAATCCGACTTCAACATCGCTGGCCAGCAGTTGCGTAGAGGTTGGACTGAAATCAAATACTACATATAAAACAAATTATACATATACAGACCCAGATTGTAATTTCAGATTGCTTATGTTGCACTAACAAGTGGAGTGATGGTGGTGCTACGATGGATTCTAGTCGGAGAATTTGGTTGAGAAAAGAAAAAGCTTTGGTTGGTCTGTTAAGGGCATTTTGAACTCATTAGTGACATTTAAGCTCAAAGAATCAATTTTTCTCCACTGTAAATGTGATTGTTTTAGGCTGCAGGTACTTTGTCAAAAAAGCAACCGAAGCTCTGTTTTGAAGCTCGTTGGTCTTTGGTTTGATGGAGCGTTGGACACTTGTCGGTTCCCCTGTTTTTCCCTCTGCCAAATCAGTCTCGCACCATTGCCGGAGCAATGCACGCACCTTCGCCGGCGATCTGTACAATCAATCAAGTTTTGCATCTCCAAATTTGTCGTCGTAGTTTCTGATTGCGGGAACAGTTCTTGCTGAACTGTAAGTTCAGTCTCCCAGGTTCAGTCCGTGCTCACCGGCTCAGTTTGTGTCTTGCCAGGCACGACAGTTTTTGTTTCCTACCGTTCCGTGCTCGCCGTTCAGATCCTTGTCAAAACAACTCTCTACTCATAATCGTCGTTCAGATCCGCTCATATATATATATATATATGAGCGGATCTGAACGACGATTATGAGTAGAGAGTTGTTTTGACAAGGATCTGAACGGCGAGCTATATATATATATATATATATATATATATATATATATATATATATAATTTGTAATTTTATAAAAAATTTAGGGATTTGGTGGATCTAAATGAAGCTCGCCGGTGGAGAAGATAATTGGTTTAGATGGAAGATGGTTTTGAGTTTATGATGGTATGAAGTTTGTATTAAATGTAATTAAAAAATTCGGGGCAAACATATCTTTTCACACGTTTTTAACGGAGACAGTAACGGAAAAGTGAAATTGGACCTAACTGATAGTTATTTTTGAAAGATGTTTTAGACTGATATTTGGTCAAATGGGGGTGTCATTGAAATTATCCCTTTATGATTTTCTTGGATTTGTGCTCGAGCTTTAGAAACTTGTGGTCGATCATTTTGGCCAATGCTCGAGCTATGGGACCTGGAACTTCCGAGGCATCTTTTCATTTCTCTCAGGAGTGTTTGTGCTCGAGCATAAAGGTCTTGTGCTTAAGCTCAAAATACTTAGCCAATTTCTACTGTTTTCTTCAATCTGTACTTGAGCACAAAAGGTCTGTGCTCGAGGTCTAGGACTTGTATTCCTATAATCACCCCAAAATAGCTCCAGAATAAGCTCGGAAAGTTCGGTACATCTTTAGAAACTTCGGAAACATTTATTTGAGCTATAGAATCATGATTTCGTCCTATTCTTCGAGAAATGACTTACAAAAGGCAGATATTCTAAAATAAGTATAAAATCAAAATAAAGACAATGCTAAGGTATTAAGTGATGCGCACCTGAGTGTTTACTAAAAAATATGATGTTTTGTATGTGGTAATGGGATATCGACTTTTATATTTATAAAACGACTAAACACTCATACGTTAGTATAGTGAGAAGGGATCGTTCACTGGGATTATTGACTTGGAATTTAACTTAACATTAATGAGCGTGAGATTGAATATATGGTGATTGATTGATTATAATAATGATGGTTTTACTATGTAGAGCGTGCAAATGAAATAAAGTTAAAGTAAACTTGGGTTACGTGATAAGGAGAGAGGCTTAGGGCATGGATTACACCGCTAAATTCATGCAACTATACCAAATGTCTTCAATTAATGGGGAAAATACATTGCAATAGAAATGTGGTTACAAGCACACATCACTAATCAAGAAGATAATACAAATTGCAATGAATAAGTATGAACTATTAAAATTGTATATTCTTATATTTTAAATGATTTATTTAATTAATTTAATTGCTTTTAATTTGATTGAGCTGATTTGTTTGATTAGAGGGTGTAACAAAAATCAAGCATGAATTGCCTACCTAACCACAATTACTCTAAGGTGTAGTACAACCCATTAAGACCAAGCATAATCCATCAAACTGCTAACAATTGTATCCAATAAGAACCATGCATGGCCATCATTAAGCACAATTACAAAGAGTACTCAATGTAAAGATTAACCCTCAATTAATCACGCATAAGACAATATGCAACCAATATAGAGAATCAATTGAAAGAATTATCGATATAAACCTTGGTACAGCCAAGTGTGAATTTACAAGGTTAAGCACTAATTACAATACATAATCCCCAAAATTTAAAGACAAAAGTTTAATTACATAAGCTTGAGGCTCATCAAAACCCAGATTGAAGAACTATCCACTCATGGAGAAGGTAGATGTCATCATGGTGTTCTCATTGGGTTCATCATATTATTCTTCTTCCTTGAGAGAAACCCTAGAGAGAGGGAGTATATTTAGAATTTCTTCTTAGCTATTCAATTCCCAAATGTCAAACCCTTGTAAAAATGGTTCAATCATGTATTTATAGATGACTCTTGGAGGCCAAAATGAGTTAGACTCGTACCTTCAAGTCAAGCAATCTCGTAAACCCTGGTTCTTCGAAATTGGGGCTCGAAACAAGCATTAAATGATTCTGCTCAATGCACGATCAATCGTGTTTTAGCCAAGTTCAATCGTGAATTATGCCAGTCATGACTGTTCGTGACTTTGCCAAGATCGATCGTAGATTTGCAGGATCGATCGTGATTTCCCAAGATCGATTGTGATTTCCCACTTTGGCTAATTTTTGAGTTTCTTTCTTCGCTGCATTTTGCTTGATTCCAAAAAGACTTTAATGCACTGGAATTAACCATTTTCTGGTGCAAACAACCTAAAAATGACAATAATGCAAATAAGTACTAAACAATGAATAAAGATAAGGCTAAAGTGCAACAATCATAAAAATAATGGCCGAAATGTGCAGATTTCATTATTTAAGGATTTGGATTACAAAATACTATTATTTACCTCAATGAACCTTTTTTTACACATTCAACAAGTCTAATGTTGTGTTTGATAGTACACAACTTAGATTTGAGATTATTATTATTATTATTATTATTTTTGTTATATTTGGATTCAACACGTTAATACATAACAGAAATGAATTAGTCTTGAATAAATACATTTTTTATATTCTTAAAGAAATGAATGAATTAGTCTCGAATAAATATATTTGGATTCAACACTTTAATACATAACAGAAATGAATTAGTCTCGAATAAATACATTTTTTATATTCTTAAAGAATTCAAGTAATGTGAAAATTTAAAATAAATAACACCTTTCTGTTAGAATTTAATCATAATACATTTTTTCTATTCTCAAAGAATTCAAGTAATGTGAAAATTTAAAATAAATTACACCTTTCTGTTAGAATTTAATCATAATAAAATTTCATTTTATAGAGATAAAAAATATGGTATAATTATAAGTTCAAACATGGTCCATAACTTTCCAATAAGTTAATTTTTTCATATCTTTTGTAAAAAACTTTTTGAAAAAATTATATGGTCATGAGAAGTTACTTTTATAAAAGAAAATCGTTTCTCACCACCCAAACTCATAAAATATAAAAAGAAAATCATTTTCTTCACTTTCCAATACTATTCTATATAATCAAACCATGGCTGACATATTTTTTCTAATTGTTTTAAAAACCTGTAAATAATATCCTTGAATCAATGTTATTAAATGATATTGAGGATAAAATGTTAAACTAATTTCAAGACTTCAATTTTATATTTATTCTCTCTCTCTCTCTATATAGTCTTATCAAATACTTTTAATAAATTGAGCACTCAAAATTTAAATAGTTATACACAAATGTTTAAATTTGAAATTTCATCATTCTAGATTATTTTATGAGTAATGTGAACAACTTAATGTAATATCCTATATATGAGAGAGGGATCCGAACTTTATAATATATGCCTTTGTGGTTTTTATCATATGTACGCCAAATATCAATTTAATTTCATCCATAAGCTCATATTTTCATAAATTAAATATTCTATTAAATAATTCAAAGTTGAAGAGTACATTTTTGACTCATTTGAATTAATTTTGATATACATACGAGTGTGTTTCTTACCATAAAAAAAAAAAAAAATTAATATTGACAAAGGACTTTTAATTTAGTTTTTGGATTTGTCAAAATGATGAAACCTAAAAAAAATAATAACCAATTGGATTTGCAATAATTAATCTTAAACGTCTTTTAATTATTAAATTATTTTTTCTGGACAATGTTACCCATCTTCTTTATGCATTTATAGTCCATTTTCATTCAAACTCTTCCTCTAAACGGGCTTTCCAGAAAAGTCCTTTTAGAATTTAAAAGGCAGCCTTCAAAAAACTCCCAAACAAGACCTAAAAACGGCACCTATTTAAGCTCACCCTACCACTATATAATAGTTAGCTGTAGTCTGTGGCGGAGTCTGTTTAGGGTTTACAGTCGCCGTTTTCTGAAGTCCAGAGGAAGTCTCCGCGAGATGGTAAATATGAAGCCCATATATATATATATATACATTTATGTACATCTATAATCATATATTTCAGATATATAACGCGGTTCTGATATTCTCAAAATGCTAATTGAAGTAGAGAAACGTTAAATCTTTGTTGTCTGATATAAGTATGTATTATTTATATCAATTGATGGTTTAATGAGCTGATCTACTATTCATGTTATTTTTACAGATCTGTTTTCTAGTTGATCTGATTTTGAGTAAATTCGTTTGTTTATTTCGTATACATTGGTCAAAACTGGAACATGATATGCTTGCGTTCGAATTTTGGTAATTTACCCATTTTCGCGAAACAATTTTTATTGCATTTAATCATTAAATACAATTGTTAGGAAATAATATTGAATCTTACATCCGCAATTCATTATGCCATTCAGTTGTAATATCGGTAAGCTTAGTTTGAGTCGATGGGAAATAGTTCGAGTTGTTATTATTATTTCCAAAAAATATAAGTGGAATCCCCAATTTATTTATGGAAGCACTATTCTTTTTGAAGTTACAATTTTGATAATATATATATTTTTCTCTTTTCATTTTCTGTGAAATTTGGTCCTATCATAAATATCACGAACTAGTGATTTTATTGTTATATACAGTCAAGCGTATGTATATAAATACATAGATGGTTCTGATGTAGCTTCCTGGATGTACTTTTCAGTTTTTCTATTATATTTGCTTTAGTACGCATTTGATACACTTTATAGTTCTCTTACATTCTGTAAGAGTATATCTTATGATTGAGCTGATTTATTTTACCCTGTTAGTGTTTAAGTGTATGCTGCATAACATAGTAAGATATATCATACATCCTGGACATGTGTCAATCATCATCCTCCTCCTCCTTGCCTTAACCCCATATGAATGGAGTTCCCCACTAGAATTCTCTCTCTCTAAGCTTTTCTATTACGTGCCAATTTACCTATATATTTGACTTAAAATCATTTTTAATAATCCCATCCTATGTTATTTTTGGCCGCTCTATCCGTTCTTACCTTCTATTACAACACGTGTCAATCTGCTCACCAATCTTAATTAATACTGAAAGCATCAATAATCATACTATGAATACGTCAGGACTTTCTGTGATAATCCATTTATGAAATTAATCCATTACCCATATCATTGAACGGACCCCTTTAAAGTATTTCAGAGGAACATGAGGTGAATCCTTGTACACTTAAAAACAGTCATCTGCAAAGAACAAATGCAAAATAAAAAAGGCCAGTTGGTTTCAGTTTTATGTAAGAAAAAAAGAAGCAATATTTAGTATTGCAAGTCCTGCCTATTTTGGGACTGGGAGGATTGGGTACAAACCTAACATTTGACATTATTTTTACTCAAAGTGACTTCTCTTAGACTCTTCATGTTTGTCAGTATTAGCTTTTAACTTTGCAACAAACAATAATCGTTTGTATGACATCATTGTTATTATATTTATTAGCAATATGGAAGAAGAGCTCAACATTGAGATTTTTCATGGCAACAAGCAATAACCCATTTGTATGACAGCATTGTTGTTATTTTACTCCATTAGCATTATGCCAAATTAGCAACAACGATGGCATACTACCAATAAATGTATAGGCTAAAAAAATCGTTGATAGGGCTAAATAACATTGCAGTCTCAGCTAAGCCACGGGCTTCTACTGCCTGAAGCATGAGCAATTGAGCATGTAGTAATGTGTGTTAATTTTTTGCAGGCCCCGAAGAGAGGAGTAAAAGCTGCTGCACCAACTAAGAAGAAACCTGTATTTTTCATTAACTTTTCCTCCCCTCTTACCCCCTCTTTCTGTCACACACACGCACATAGACAGACACCCACACACACAACCCACCTCCCATATATTTTCCTGAACTTAGAAGGCATTTTCACCTCAACTTATTTTAATCCGTTGTTTGTGCTTTTGATACTGACATATTGTTTTTCACTTTGGAACATAGGATAAGGTTGTGAACCCTTTATTTGAAAAGCGCCCCAAACAGTTTGGTATTGGAGGGGCACTGCCTCCCAAGAAAGATCTGCACCGCTTTGTGAAGTGGCCACAGGTTGTTCGCATTCAAAGGAAGAGGAGGATTCTCAAGCAGCGGTTGAAGGTCCCACCAACTTTGAACCAGTTCACAAAAACACTGGACAAGAACCTTGGTAAGAGCCAGAAAAGAAAATCTCACACGTATTGTTACTTCTTTATATTCACGTGCTGGTATTTTCAAATTTAATATTGGTTAAGAAGATATGTTCGGTAGTAGTTATTAGTTATACTTCAATTTTTTCATACATAATCACATATTTGAGTGTGTACACATTTATTTACTTTTGTGGATTTTGTTTCTCAAATATAAATTGAGTGTGGGATGTAATGTCAAGAGGAAGGTTTAGCAGTTCACATCAATTCTCGCTTGTTGTTATTTCAGCCATATGGGGCTTTGTGTTAGAACCTTGACAAAGTCCTCAAGCCAAGGCCTTTTACATTTAGCATACCAGCTACTTAACATTGGTTATACATGTGTTTCAATGTGAAGTATCTTGTTTGTATTATTGAAGTTGTTGCCTAAATAACAATGTTTTGTGTACTTGTTTGCTTTAGTAGTTATTAGTTATACTTCAATTTTTTCATTCATAATCACATATTTGAGTGTGTACACATTTATTTACTTCTTTTGTGGATTTTGTTTCTCAAATATAAATTGAGTGTGGGATGGAATGTCAAGAGGAAGGTTTAGCAGTTCACATCATTTCTCTTGTTTGTTGTTATTTCAGCCATATGGGGTTTTGTGTTAGAACCTTGACAAAGTCCTCAAGCCAAGGCCTTTGACATTTAGCATACCAGCTACTTAACATTGGTTATACATGTATTTCAATGTGAAGTATCTTGTTTGTATTATTGAAGTTGTTGCCTAAATAACAATGTTTTGTGTACTTGTTTGCTTTGGTAGTCCCTATCCGTCCTAGCTACAAGCAAACACATTCTGCCAAGAACATTTGATTCTTGCTCTATACATAGTTGGTTAGGTTGTGAACACTTGACATTGTGCACAAATTTGCTGTCCCACTAGACATGCTTATAGAGTAAAGGGGAAGGTTTTTGTGAGTTTTGAGGGAGGGGAGGAGGGGGAAAAGGGGGAGGAAAGATGAAAACAGGATTTTTTTTAATAGTTTTGGTAATGTCATGGAAAGTCTGGTAGGAGTGGTAGTAGGGATGATAATATGGAATTGGGGTGGGATTGTGATATGGGATATTTGATTGGTTACTTCTGTACTGCTTCTTGATATGGGATATATCCTTTTGCTTTCGGTAGTTGGGGGTGCTTCACATTGAGATTAGTTTCTTTCTCATTTTTACTGTTGAATTGGTTTTCTATTTCCCATTTTCCTTTTGTTTCTATCCAAGTATGCATAAGCTGTGTCTATGTAAATTATTTGTCATGGCATTCCATTTATATTTTTTTTCCTCTCCCAATCCTCTTTTGTGAATTGCCCCTATTTTGGGCCTGGTTTAGATAATATTGATATTAACTGGCAACTCTATGCTATGTTGTAAATCTTTTACAGCCACAAGCCTTTTCAAGCTACTTCTCAAGTACAGGCCTGAGGACAAGGCGGCAAAGAAGGAACGCCTGCTTAAAAGGGCACAATCTGAGGCTGAAGGGAAAACCCCGGAGTCCAAGAAGCCAATTGTTGTGAAATATGGACTCAACCACGTCACTTACCTTATTGAGCAGGTTTCTACCCTTTTTTTTTTTTGGTATGTATGTGCTTAATTTTCCAAATAATGAGCTCTGAAGTGGTAAAACTAATTTTGTTTGCTACAGAACAAGGCACAGTTGGTGGTTATTGCTCATGATGTGGACCCAATAGAGTTGGTTGTATGGCTTCCTGCCTTGTGCAGGAAGATGGAGATCCCTTACTGCATTGTCAAGGGGAAATCCCGATTGGGAACGGTAATTTTTTTTTTTCCACTTCTTAATTTTAGTTTTATTTTTGAAGTTTCATCTGTGTTACTTTCCTTATCAAATCAAGGATTCGATTGGATATTAAATTTTTCAAGTTCCGCTTGTGACAGATTGTCCACCAGAAAACTGCAGCCGCTTTGTGTTTGACCACAGTTAAGAACGAGGACAAGTTTGAGTTCAGCAAAATCCTCGAGGCAATCAAGGTGATTGTATCTTTACGCATGTTTTTCTTGGTTTTGTTTCCATTTCGTTATTTGTTTGTTTTTTTTATTAAAATGAGTTCAATCCTTATTTTAGGCCAACTTCAATGACAAGTACGATGAGTACCGAAAGAAATGGGGAGGTGGTATTATGGGATCCAAATCGCAGGCTAAAAGCAAGGCTAAGGAGAGACTTATTGCAAAGGAAGCAGCTCAGAGGATGAACTAAGAGCTCTAAACTTGACCTGAACTTGTCTTTGGTTTGTCTTTTCTTGTTTAAATTAAAATGGTGTTTTGTAGGCGCTTGAATCTTACTGCCTTTGTTTTGTTCCTTCCGCCAGAGGGAAAGATTATTATTTTTGGTAGAGCATATAAAGAAACTCTTAATTTACCTGCCATATTTCAAAAATATATTGCATCATCTATCATGTGAATGATTTCACAAGAATTAGTGAAGAGAGTGATTCAGGCTATGTCATTGGTCACTTTGGCACCCCATTTTTAGCCATCTCTCCATTCTCACATCCTTTACTCCATCCATGCGTGCACAGAAATTCTTGAAGGTGGAGTGAAAAGGCTACTTTGAATAGCATCTCTGACCTCTGTGGCCTGTATTGATTTGCATCTTTAAATGCACTAGCTTTGTGTTGCTACAATGTTGATTCAAGTTGCCAATTTCTTCCCAGTTGTCGATACAGGTGTGTTTCCATGAACTTCTACATGCTGGCAACATTGAGGGATCAGGACTCGAATCCTCCAGTGGAACAGTGGTGTTCCTGTTCCGTCCTATTTGGGATGCACTTCCGTCTAGTTTGGGATTCACCAGAAGGTGCATCCCAAACTGGATGGAACATGATCTACCGTTCTATTAGCTTTATGTGGCATAATTTTCTGACTTGGATGTTTAGTTTCAATCGGTGGTTTCAATATTTTAGTTTCATAAGCTTATATTGCAGTCTGAGCTTGCTTTTTCCCACAGGCATGTCCATGCTTGTTTTGGATCCTCTTCTGTGCCTTTATTATTATGTACTTCAATCTAGTTTTAAGTGAGTATCTTTATTCCTTGGGCATAATTGTGATGCGTATTTTACATGCATGCCTAGAGCTGTAATTGCGAATTCATCTTGATTCCTCTGAGATGTTCAGAAATTCATAGCCAGATTAAATAATGGCTGGCTGTGTATGGCTGGCTGTGTTAGGATGCATGGAATTAGTAGAATTAAAGAAAATTTTAGTTTAATTTTGTGAGTTGTTTTTTTCTAATTTCGCAAATTATAATTTCAACTAATGTCTAATCATTAGTTGTGTGCTATATGAGCCCAAATCAAGTGGCCATCCCATTCAAGGGATGTTCATACGTTTCATTCCCAAAGCAACTCATTTTTTAACCAATACATCGCACCCCATTTTTTTTAAAAAAAAACTGCAAAATTGAAATAGGCCCATTTAAGCCCATATTTGTAACCATTCCATTTCATATACCTGCTCTAATTTAAAATAACCAATCAAATATATTGCTTAAAAACTGAGTAAAAAAAAATCCACGGTCAAGTTGACACCATAACAAGTAAATTTTTTTTTTTAAAAAAAAAAAAAAAAAATGTGAATGGGGTTCATACGTTTCATTCCCAAAGCATAACTAATTTTTGAACAAATGTATCTCACGCCAAATTTTAAAAATTGCAAAATTGAAATAGGCCCATTTCAGCCCATATTTGTAACCATTCTATTTCATATACCTGCTCTAATTTAAAATACAACTCAAATCCGATTTACTTAATAATCATGTCAAGAACTTCAATTAATACTATTATACCTATTTTTATTATGACAAGACTTACCTACTCACGGGTGGATAAGTGATTCCTATTAATCAAGTTCAATTACAAATTTACAAATAACATCTAATTAAAAAAATCCTAAAGTGATAAATAAAGAAATCATAAAGGGTGAATAAATTTATTCTAAAAAGGTCATTGTCCTTATTTAGAACTTTTTGTTTTTGTAATTACGCAATTGTAGTTGGACTACAAAACTTCCTGTTTTTGTAATTACGCATTTGTAATTGGACTAGGAGTCTTGTCCTTATTATTATTATTTTTTTAGCAAAATAGAATAGGAGGAGAAAATTGTCATTCCACAGTAGTAAGTAGGGTGTCATTTGACCACATAGGGGTGGTGAGGGTAATTTAGCCAAGAGTTTATATGGCAATTGAGAGCTTCAATTTTGTAGGCACATCGCCGGGCATGGACTCCAATCTTCCCGCCGACGAATCCCAGCTCGATCTCTACACCATACCAAGCCGCTCAAGTAAGTTTCTGTCTCTTCTCTCTAAACCCTAACCCTAACTTTCCCTCTATCTTCCTGAACCCTAACCCTATCTTTCTCTCTCTAAAAGGCTGGTTCTCCTGGGACGACATCCACGAAACAGAGAAATCCTCGCTCAGAGAGTTCTTCGATGTAAGTTCCATCACAAGAACGCCCAAAATCTACAAAGAGTACAGAGATTTCATCATCTCCAAGTTCAGAGAAGAGCCTTCCAGGAGGCTCACCTTCACGGAGGTCCGTAAATCACTGGTCGGCGACGTTTTTTTGCTTCGAAAGGTGTTCTGCTTCTTGGAGAATTGGGGACTGATCAATTTTGGTGCACCCTCCAGTGACGATTCGGTGGTGGAGGGGGAGGAGAGAGAGGAGAGGTGTAAGGTTAGGGTTGAGGAAGGGGCTCCCAATGGGGTTCGGGTCGTGGAAGTTCCGAATTCGTTGAGACCTGTTCTGGTGCCGCCTGTGACCGTGAGTAATGGTGATGAAGTGGTGGAGAGTGGGTTCAAATTGCCATCTTTGGCGTCTTATACGGATGTGTACAGTGAGAAGGAATTGTTGTGTGGGAATTGTAAAGAACGCTGTGATTCGGGACACTATAAGCATACTAAGGTAATACTGTTTTCTCTTTTAAAATTATTTAAAATTGTTTAAGTAATTTTTGCCATACTCTGTTTCAATTTCAACTGGGTTTACTAGCTGGTAGATACCTTTATTACCGAATTCATCCCTTTCAAATATGTTTGTATGCTGAATATTTTGATTATCATTATTATTTTCTTGATAAATGAATGTATTGGTTATTATGAATAAACGGATTTCAATACTAGTATGTAGCATTTCCATATTCAAAATGTTCCAAACTATTTGAAATTGGGTTCTTGCAATGTTCGTATGGGTTTGTCATGGTTCCTCGTATCAATTCCAATTAATCTGCAAGTTGCTTCCTTGTGTCGCAATTTTTTTTTATATATTTATTTTAAAATTTTGCGTATTTTTTTGGTTTTACTTCTATTATCATTTTCATATCGTATAACTCTTTCTCTAATTGGTAGCACCGTGTTACGGGTGGGTGCTTGCCCATTTACCCAAAAATTCAAGTTGTTGGGTAGTACTGCGTATCCACCCATTTATACACACTTCAACCCCCATCAAAATCCAATGTGGGACAAGTCTCACTTGTAACACAAGGACATTTGACATTCTGTTGCATTTAATATTGAAAGTGTAATGGTGCTTGGCAATTTCTTTTGGGGTAATGCACTAAGATTGTTTAACCTTGTTGATTTCTTGTCCTAAACATTTTCCGTGATTAGGACTATTTAGTCTTCGGCTTGCAAATGTATCATGTCTCTGATGACATGATGTAACTAAACAATCCATATTGGTCCCACCTGTGGAGCTATTACTGTATTGTAACCGTCATTTAGGTGTAGCTTGACTAACAATTTCTACCTAGGCTATGGTGGGCTATTGAGGCACTAGTAGAGTTGGGCGAGCACAGACAATGATTGACTCCACTCAATTGACCAAATATACAAATGGGAAAGTGTTGTAGATTATGGTTAGTTTCATCCTCTTTGTTTCTAATTGATATTTTCGTTTAACCATTTTTTGATATTAATTGAATGAAGAAGTAATCATTTATGATTTGAAGTAAAGGGTGTTTCCACTGAATTTATGTCCGAGAAACATACATACAAAAATACTAATCAAAACATCATAATAAAAGTACAATTTGTCACCAAACAGGTGAAGTCTACTAAAGAAAATCAATAACAAGCATGAGTTTCCAACATATAAACCTAGTTCTTATGGCTGGGTCCTGTGTCTGCATCCTGAAGAACCACTATTCCCATTGACTGATTGTGTCTACAAGTTCCTGATCCTAAAAACTTCCACTAGGAAAGAAGTAAGAACACCCAGTCAAAGTACTAGTCCAAGTAAAAACCTACTACTTTCCTCTCACTATATTAGTACCAAGGGAAAGAGAATGAAAGAATCTACATAGATAGTATTTTTTCTGTAGGGTACAGTGCAAGAACAAACCAACCCAAACCCCCCTCCTCTTCTTATATAAAAAAAATGTGTAGCAAACCCCCTTTCCTATTCAGTATGAGCAAATAACCTCTTAACATTTAAAAAATGTGTGCAAATTGCCCAGCCGTAATACAATTAGAGTTGACTGAATCTTGAATAATAAAAAATTATCATAAACCCCCAAATACCCTTTTTAAAAGACCACAATTCCCTTCACAGACCACAATGCCCTCCCTCCCTCTCTCTCTCCAAGGCCTGAGTAATGTGAGTCATGGTTGGCATGAATTGGAGTCTGTCCAATTTGGTCTTCATTTCAGGCCCCCAATTTCCACCTTTTCACAATCTGAACGATCTTGCGATTGCTGAAGCACTTAAAAGTGGCTTCTTTAAACCCCCCACCATCGCATGATCATCAAGCCCAGCTGCAACCTAACTTATACTTTTCAGGCCACTGACTGGAATTGTCGGTTTAAACCCGATTAGAACATCAGAAAGAAAATGAAAATCAGCTATCAATAGTGATGGAAATTACCATGAAAGTTACGAATTTTGTTTCCCATAAAAAACATCAAAGAAAAAATGGGTTAAGTGCAAAAAAAAAACCCTGCTATATACAAAATGAGCAAAAAGCACCCCTGCTCTTTAGTTTGTGCATATAAATCCCTAACATTTGAAAATATGTGCAGATTGCCCCCTAATATCTGTTGGCCGTCAAATTTTGACAAAATTTATATAAATACCCCAAAATACCCTTAAAACCTGAAATCAGTGTTTTTTTTTTCTTAAGGGCTTTTTAGGTATTTAGTCTTAAAATTGACAAAATGTCCTTATTTCTTAATTTGGAAAAGGTAGGGGGTTTTCTGAACACCAGGGGGGTACTTGCACATTCTATATATAACACGGGGTTTTTTGCACTTTACCCAAGAAAAAACTACAAAAATTACTAACAGTTGTGACTCAACGATCCAAAATAAAAAATTAATAATAGAATTGTTGTATAACATTTTTAGAACATTTCTACAATTTTCAATTATAAAACCGCTTCAAGTTTGAACCCGTTCTTATTTCTGAACACCTGCCCTTGTTTTTATGTTTTCTAACCAAAAAACTTGACCGTCTTCGTGCAGCACCTGGCATTATGATACATATATATACATACATACATATATATATATATATATAGAGAGAGAGAGAGAGAGAGAGACAGACAGAGAGAAACAATAGTTAGATGGAGGAACACACATCCACATCTGCCATAGCTTTGGAAGTGAAAGTAAAATCAGAGAGAGAGAGAGAATGAAGATGGGAAGGGAGAGAGAGACTGAAATCGAAGAGTGTGAAAACAGTAAAAGAGAGAACTAAAAGGTTAGTGGTAGTGGGGTTAAATCGTATACATGGTGGCCACACCGTCGTTTAACTAATGTCCTTTTAGTCAAGGGTATTCTGGGCATTTCAAACTTCTGTTAACGGGAAAGAGACGGAATGTCCTTACTTCCACAATTTCAAAAATGCAAGGTGTTAATTAAACTTCGGGGGAATTCTCGCACAATTTTTATATAACGGTTTTTTTTTTTTTTGCACTTTTCCCCTTTTCTATAACTACATTAGAAAAGCATCAGAGGGGGAATAATCCATGTACAAAGAGACGTATGCAAAAAAAATTGAAATATATACTCTCCTATTTATGCAGAAGATTGCAGGGGCAATCCAAACAAGGAGGTCAAGTTCTTAACATGGAATGCTTTAATCCCTAAATAGGCATCTCTACCCATCAGAGGACCAATTGTTCCTCTCCCAATAAATACACCACCATAAATATAGTGGAGCAACCTACCAAACTGCTCTAACTCTCCTATTCACTCTAAAATCATTCCAAATAGCCAATTTCTTGCAATTAAGCCAGGCATAACCCATGCACTTGAAAGAGAGAGAAGAAGGGCCCATAAATCTCTCTCCACTAAACAATGCATCAAAAAGTGGTTAACTGGGTCTCTGTTTCTTCTGTGCACATTCAGTGCCAATAAAAAGTGATTTTGCGCTTCATTGGGTTTCCAAGGGCAACGATTTTCCCTAATACAGCTGCCCATCCTAACATTCTGTGTGAGGAAATAATTTCATGACCTGGAATCTTTTTTTCATAACGAAGAATCCTGGTTATCAAGATTCTTGGTTTTTTCCATAACCAGGAAACTTGATCAGTAAGCATATGTATCCATTGGCCAGCTACTAATGCACCAAAGGTTCCTGCAAATACATCTCTTTCTTAAATTGGCTGTTTTCATCGTATACAAGATAGGTTGCAGCAGATCACTTCTATGTGCAAGGCTGGCTCCACCTTTGGGCTATTAAGGTGGTGGCCTAAGGAATCTTTAAAAAAATTAACTGGGTAGCATTTATATTATTTAAAGATTTTCATTGTCTAATGTAGTAAATACTAAATACCAACTGGCACTAATTTCCTAATCTGGGCTCATATTAGCAGTAGAAAAATAAAGTAAAAATACATCAAATCATGCCAAGCATGTAATGACAATCCCATCTGGTCCTTTACTTTTCTCCAATAGTCTCACACCTTTTCCTCTTCTTTCAGATTTCCTCACTTCTCATAAAATGCCTAAGGTAATTTGCCTTTTTTTCTAAACTTCTTCTAATTTTCTAATATCAAACTACGTATGATTTTCACCTTATGCATCAAATTTTATATAGTCTCACACTTTTTCCTCTCCTTTCAGATTTCCTCACTTCTCATAAAATGCCCAAGGTATTATTGCCTTTTTTTCTAAACTTCTTCTATTTTTCTAATATCAAACTATGTATGATTTTCACCTTATGCATCAAATTTTAATAGAGCTGATCATGTCTATGTGCATCTATCCCAAATTCTGCGTTCAAAAAGAAATCCAACTAAACTAAGGAAAAAAAAAAAGACCTCCAACTTTATGTGCCTTTTAAAAGTGCCAATGAACACTTACATTATGCCATCTTCTTATAGAAACTAATATGAATTTGCAAATTTTATTATATAGCTGCAACAATTAGACTTGACCACACGAAAAAAAAAAAGGGGGAAATGACATTCGACAACCTTTTGTACTCTTACACTACTCATTTTTTTTAAGAAAGAAAATGACATAATTGTCCATCAAAATATAATCTCATATTCCAATTTTTTTTTTTTTTTTTTGATAAGTAATCTCATACTCCAAAATTGTCCCAAAGTACTCTCTTGCGCACCACTTTGGAGGGTGTTGTGTCATTTCTTTATTAAAAAATCAAGTGAAGTGCCACAGTACAAAGTGTAGTGTGAATATCACATCCAAAAAAAAAAAAACTCTGCATAACGCATCAAGAAATAAAGCATTTATGAATTGGGGAGGGGGAACACCCTGATATATTCACAAACACGCACATATGACAATTTCTGGTGCTTCCTGCAAAGGCTACGGGAGTTCCTGGTTTCGACAATTTCAGCACATCAATCTCAATCTCCATATATTATACATATCGGTTCATGTTGAAAGAAAATCCTTTGCTTCTGTTTTTGCTGTAAGCTTTCTGATTGGGGTTTAAGTTGTTTAACCACAAGTTTATGTCGAGAACAAGTAATTATTAGACGCTTTTCATTTGGACAATTTCCTGTGTTTCTTTACAATATACTAAATAAAAATGGCACGTGTTAAATATGTGGTATCTTTTTTTAATAAGTAAATTTCAATAAAAGGCACTCAAAGGGGAGTGCACCCACAAGAACAACTGCACAAAAAAAAAAAACAACTGTATAATCCATGCTTCCAAAAACTCTATGTACAAACCTCCCAGACCAATAATAGAGAGAGTTCGGGATGCAACGCTACAGCACCCATATCGGAGCTTCCACACCATCAGCACACCGCAAACCCCACAAAATGCAAAGGGTACCGCCTGTTTTTCTCCACATGTTATATATGTGGTATGTAATCACAGCACTCCTTCTGAGCCATAGGCATTCAGACTAAGGCTAAACCTAAAGTATATATTTCAAATAAATGTTGAATGATTTCATTTGTGCAATTTCCGACATTTTTTCAACCAACCATGGAATGGTGGAGCACTCTCTCTAATTTAAATAAGTAACGTCTCTCATTTAAAATCGTTGATTACTTTCTAGCAGTTTAGTGCAGAGAAAACATGGGTTGACCATTCAGGGAATATTACATAATAGATTGACATGCGTACAAAAGAAAAAGGTCCAAAATGTAAGAATTGTATAAATTAAATAATGTATACAACTGGTCCCTCAATGCCACCAAATGACCTAATGCACAATCTTCATTCAATATATGAAATTCGAAACACGTGGTCTGGAACAAATATATTAGCCACGACCAGTCAGTCAGTAGAATAAGTCCTGGACTCACATCTCCTTTGTCAGTCTTTGCTCTTCTTTTTCTTACCCTAAGGTATCTCTTTCCAAGGCTTTCCATCTCCTAGATTCCTCCGACAGTCTTCACATTTTGTTTTTAATAATTTATACAGGCCAGACTAGTTGAGGTGTGTTTTCAACCCTTATGATGATTGCCATGTTTGCTGTGTATTCTTTTCTGTGGTTGAAAAGATAAAGCTGCATTCTTAAGTTTGGCAGATCGATTGAAAATGCTGTATTTTTTTTTTCTTTATCTAAAACTTCTTGTGTTGGCTCAATTTACTCATTTTCACACACTCTCTCTCTTATTTAACTTCCAATATTGTTAAGTTTATAATGTTTATTTTTACTATTGCATCAGGAAGGAAGTTTCATAATTTGTGTAAAATGCTTCAAAAATGGAAATTATGGGGAGAACAAGTCCGTGGATGATTTCAAGTTCATTGATTTCATTCCAGACAAAGGGAATAATGAAGCTGCCTGGACTGAAGCAGAAACTCTTCTTCTTTTAGAATCTGTTTTGAAGCATGGGGATGACTGGGAGCTTGTTGCTCAAACTGTTAAAACAAAGGCTAAACTGGATTGCATTTCAAAGCTTATACAGCTGCCCTTTGGGGATCTTATGGTGGGATCTGCTCATAGAAGGGGTGGATTTTGGGACGCTGATGGAAACATGAGCAGTGACAAACAAGTACAATTAGTGTCATCTGAGTCTCAAGAGGTTATCAGAACAGAGGATCAATACGATAAGCCTAAGGATGAGAGTCAGCAGAATGGAGATGCAGAGAACAATGGACCTCCTTTAAAGAGAAAACGCATTGCACCACCTTCAGATGCCAGTAGTTCACTGATGAAACAGGTAGGAATTCTTGGGACTGTTCTTATTCTTCAGATTCTTTCACCTTGGTGTTGTTGTTAGATATGATTGCCTAGACCATGGAAGCTCCCACTCATCTGCATAGGGGATGGCAGGGTCCGGGGCCTGCTCTGGGCTGTTTTTTTTCAAAGGGGGAGGGAGATCTTTTATTTGAAATTATCTTCACTCTATAGAGGATGTTACTGAGAAAAAAATTGAAGTCTGTATTTATTTGTGTTGGTTTCCATAGAAGCAAATCTCAGAAATTTTAAAATCTTGGAAATTCATGAATATTATAATCTCTTGTGATGGGTGATATTGGTTTGCTGTGGTTATGGCATTTGATGACCGAAGAAAAGGGAAATATATATATATATATCTATATATAGTTTTGTTAATTGATAGTAACTTTATTATCTTCAATACCAAAGAATGATATATATATATATATGTATATAAAAGGCAAGAAACTCACACCCCCCTATAGGGACTTGAATCCTTACCTCTCACTTGAAGAGGTAGAGCAGATACCACTGGGCTACAGCCCTTGGGACGAATGAATATAAATTTGAAGAATTTTTTATGCACTTGTTTCATATATTTTTTGTGCACAATGGAATATTGACATTTTTTCCCTTTAGGTTGCTCTCATCTCTACCATGGTTGGGCCATATATTACAGCTTCTGCAGCTGAGGCTGCAGTTACAGTACTTTGCAATGAAAACCAATGTACAAGAGAGATATTTGATGGCGATGATAATGTGGCCGATGAGTTAGGACCTACTCAAAATATCGAGAATGAAAGGTTTTCTATATAATGTTATATCTAATTAGTTTTTCACTGCTACTGACATTATGGTGTTTAGCTTGGGTTTGCGATTTACTTGTTTATTTACTGTTTCAGAGTCCTTCAGATTGAAGACTCGGAGATGGAAGGAAGGAACATTCAACCAGGTACTTATTGTTACAAACACATCATGTTTTCTAAATTTTTGTTTGCTCGATTTTTTGTGTTTAGAATGTGTTACCAAAATATCAATATTAGGTTTTGTCCACCAGTAGCACTTCATCCTCGTATGATATTTTCTTGTCAACACCCACAGTTTCTTAATTGGCCGGTCACCATATTGTGTTGTCATATCTTTTTAGTCTTACTGTCTTCATCTAAATTTGTTTCTCCTACAGAAACTCATGATACATCCTTTGAGGAGGATCCTATGCCTATTACTTTGCGTATGAGAGCTGCAACAGCAACAGCTCTTGGTGCTGCTGCTGCTCATGCCAAGTTATTGGCAGATCAGGAAGACAGAGAAATAGAATATTTAGTGGCAAACATAATTGAGATGCAGGTGAGATGTGCTTTTCGCGTCTGATTCCATTTTTTTTTTTTTTTGCCTGTTGGTTTTGTTTGCTAAGTTTCCATTGTGTGATTGAGACAATGATTATTTTGAGAACTACTTTTCACCTAGAACAAAATATTGATCCCGAACCTACTAACTTCTCTGTTTGAGGCATCATCTATTTTTCTTTTCTTCCTTGAAAAAATTGCAATTTCAAAAGTATGTGGGGCTTGACATGTTTTCTTTGGTTAAATGCATAAATATATAGTTGAAGAAATTGCATCGCAAAATCAAGCATTTTGAACATCTGGAGCTGATAATGGAGAAGGAATATGCCCAAGTGGTGGAACTGGAAGAGTCTGTCACAGCAGAGAGGATTAATGTCTTACAAAAGGTATTCAATGCTGGGATATCTATTTGGAGGGATAATACTTTAGTAAAATCTCAGACGGGTGGTACTTTGATGGAGTTCTAGTTGAGATTAGCCTAATTTTTTTCTAGATGTCATGTAAGGAAGTAAAGAAAAAAGGATATTCAACATAAATTTGCTGGGCTTCTAATGTATGTATCATCTTTGGTTCTTCATGAAAAATTGCTTAAAATCAATTTTGTTTACTTCCAACTATTCTTGTTCTGAGTGGCTAATAGTTATATTAATTAAACTGTATGACATCTTTTTTTTTTTTTTTTTTTTTTTTTTAACTTTGTAGTTGGTTCAGAACTATATCAATTTTGTACGTTATTTTCAACATGTGATGTCCTAGGAGAAGACATGATAAATAGATGAGTAAACTACACTTTGACCTATGTGTTTTGCCTTTATTACAGTCAGACCCTTCATGTTTGCTTAATTATTGTCACCCTCTACTTTTTCCGAGTGACGGCTGATTCTTCCTCCTGTAACTTTAAATGAGTTTCAACAAGCCTAGCACCCAATTTGAACAGGTCTTTGTTCACATAGAGCACAGATTTCAAATTCCTGAACATTGTGACGCATTGTACGTGTAGAGAATCAGAATGTATTGATTTGGGGTTTGTCGCGTTGAGCTTGAACACAGATTGACAAAAGTTGTGAATCGAATTTGTCTAAATGGGATTTTGGTTGAGACGTACTTGAAGTAGAGATTGGCTTGTGATAGCCTCAAAAATCTCCATCTTATTGAGAGCATAGAGGTTCAAATGAGAATGCAACTTAGTCTGGTTGCCAGGAACAGGTCGGCAAAGAAATATAAGATTAGTTTTTCTCAGTGTCCAAACAGAGTAGTATTATGCTGTTTGAATTTGTTGTAATTTCTTCATCTTAGTTGATGCATCAACCTATTAGAGGATTATTGGGGGCAAAATCAAAAGAATTACCATAGCTTGGCCAAGAACCAAAACGTCCCATCTCAGGCAAAACTCTACCATCTCTCTTTACAATTACTTCTTCTTCCTCTTCGTTATCTGTATCAGAGTATCTTGCTGTTCCCAGGAATGCACACTGTATTATCTGAATCCATTTGAAACCGACTCTTCTCTGTTCGAAGAAATCAATGCCCTTAATGCTGAGGGAGTGACCAAAACATGGAACCTTTCTAATTCTTTTTTTTGAACCCTCTGTAAAGAACGTTTTCTTTGATCTTGGTTGATGATCTGATTGAGTCATGCTCCTGGTTGTTCTGACTTGTGTGTGCCCTAGCTTTGTTGTTGAACCTGCTCTCTGGTTTAAATTTCTGGTGTATGGTAGTTGCCTATTTGTCATTCGAGTTTGGGCTTGCCTGTTAGGCTTGTTCGACTTTGTGACCTTCTTGTTTATTTTTGTTATACAAGGGACTACTCGAACATTCACCGTTCTCATTAAAAGATTGAAGAGATATCGCTAGGCTACAAGACGATCGGTATCATCTCCCATTATTATTATTACTGTATTATTTTGATTGTATGCTAGAAATATGTTAGTGCAGGCTGTAGCCACAGAAAATTTAACGTGGGGAGAGGGCATAGAGCGGACCCTAGTTGTTCAAGTTTGGCTTGTAAAGCAATCGAGCTTGGTTTTGATTTAAAAGTTCATACACAGAGATCTACATCCCAAAGTTGCACATTTAAAAAAACAAAAACAAAAATCCTGCCAGGTTTTCCATTTCAAATATCTCAGTTCAATTGATATTTTATGTGTGTGTGTGTCTCATGGCTAAAAATGGTGGCAAATTACAGGACATATCTAATCTTTTTTGTACCAGCTTGGATGGAGGGTTTTAGCCTCCGTTTTTTTTTTTTTAAGTATTATAATTTTTTAAAAATAAAATCATATCCTTGTGAAGTCAGGGTTAAAAGTGTCATTTTCTTTTAGATGAGAGTGCAAACTAAGAAAATATGTAATTAATGCATTGTCCCATTATTATCAAGTTGTCATTTTAAATTTAAATAAATATATTACTAAGTTGAGAGATTTTAAAAAATAATTATGAGAAATAGCTTTAATTTTTTTTTTGAGCTTAACATTTTAAATTAACAGTTAGATTTTACCTTTACTTATTTGTATGTGATTAGGAATGAAAGTATTTGAGTTTGGAGCAAAGTTTCTAACAATGAATAAAAATCTATCTCATTATAGAGAAAACAATAAATTGAAAGCAAATCAATTTCTAATTTTTAATTAAATATTATTTTTTGAAAGGTATGTTTAATGAATAAAAAATTAAAGTAAAACCTAATTTTACTCAAATAGAAATTATATTGTATAGTTCAATGAGCTAGTCAAGAAAAGCTTGTTGGATTTAAAAATGGAAATTTAAAAAATTATATTATTATGTGATTAATTGACTACTTTTAAGTGGTATACAATATTGTGTTATATATTTATTATGTATATTATTATATTAATCTATGAAGGCTAAGACTCGAAACAATGAAAATTTCCTTTTTAAAAAATTCCACTTCACGGTAGAGCAGTGAATTGTGTTGCTCAGGAGTTAGGAACTTTAGTTTGTCTCGGGGAGTTATCAATTTTATTTAAAATTGTGACTTATAATGTTCATAATGTTTGATTTATAATATACTAGTCTCTCGTTTTTTTTTGGCTTGAAAAAAGAACAGTACTAAAATCTAAACTAAGTGCATGAAAACTAAACAACGTAAAAGAAGATTAATGAATTTGAAATTCAAGAATTTTTAAGGAAAGGACATTTATGGTATTAAAGATATAAAAATTAAGTATTTTATAATTTAGGGACTCCTTTATAATTTTATTTTAATCTAAAGAGAGAGTAGAGCACAGAGAAGGATAATGGAGCGCGAATATCAACTGTATTAAATGTACAAGTTTCTTTTTATGCATTATAAGAATCTTCCATTCAAAAGTTTGTGTAGTGTATTAATAATGGAGCGCAAATATCAGCTGTATTAAATGTACAAGTTTCTTTTTATGTATTATAAGAATCTTCCATTCAAAAGTTTGTGTATTAAATTCAAAGCAACGTTTATCTTTACGTTTTGTATACTATGTGCGGTATATTAGCGGTCCATTATTATTATTTTTGAGTATTCCAAATTAGTTTTCATAACAATATTCATCTTTACATTTTGTATGCTATGTGTCCTATATTAGTAGTCCATTATTATTATTTTTTAAATATTCCAAATTAGTTGTTCCTTTAAAAAATTCGACCTAAATAAATCTTAGCTTTTCATCATTATCCATTATGTTTGCAAAAAAATTCAAACTTGATAATTATATATATTTAAACTAAAAAGGACAAGTTGGTAAATTTAAAAGGTAATAATGCATTAATTGCATATTTCTTAAAAACAAAGTATAATTTTGGTATGTGCACTACTTGTGAATTAATTCACACATGTCTAAGTTACATGATGGAGAGGGAGCGAGTAGATACATAATGTTTATTAAAAAAAAGATACATTCTCTGAATTTCAACCAACCAAAATGATGTGAGTTTGAAGATAGAAGGATATCAATCAAGGGTGATGTAAATTTAAATGTGGGCCCTATTATATGATTTCACTCATATAGTGGGACTCACACTAACACATATTTCATTCTGCATTCTCTGGAAATGTATCATTTACTCATGTATTAAATAAAATGCCTTTTATTCATTAAATGTTTGTTATTACATGCATAACAACATTTCGACATTTTTGGCAAGTGTATTAAATGTGAAACATTATATACTTGCATGTCTATGAAATTTATATATATATATATACTCGCCTGTAACATGATATATGTTATTACATATATGAATTTCTTTTTATTACATAGATTTGAAATTTGTTTAAAAAAAATTTAGAGAACATATAAAAAGTAGTGCTGAATACGTTTAAATTTTGTAGCTCAATTATTTGTTTTTTCAATTTTTAAATATTTTATTTACAAAATTAAATATTTTTTGTGATGTAAATTATTATTTTTTTGATTTTTTTACTATACATGCTCTATATGCAGCAATTTATATCTTCCTACCATTGTAATATTTTTTTCCTTAATAAGAAACCTGGACTTGAACTCTCACCTCTGTTTTTTAATTTGTTTTCTTTTTACTGCATATTTTCTTCTCATTAATCATACTTTAATTAAAGAATATATATATATATATATATATATATGAAAAATAAAATATTATATTTAATTTTGTGCAAAAAAGTTGTGTCTTATTTCTTTGGGCAAAAATATTTTGGTGCAAAAATACTTTTCCCCATTATGGTTGTGATGAATTAGTACTATTTGTGGTATCTTCAAAATTTTATTTGAAAGTTGGAGGAAAGAAATAATTATCTGCAGCAATTTCTTTGACGTGTGAGCTTGTTTACGGATTCCAAATTTCAATACTTATAAATATTCATTATTTTTTATTATATTGATAAATGACAAATTAGAGGACAAGCTTCTAGGACTAGTTTGGCAGGTGAGAATGGAATGAAATAAAGTGAAATGAAATATTTTTAATTTCCTTTTTTTGTTTGGAAAATAATTTTAAAGATGGAATACCCATTAAGAATCATTCTACTTTCCAACAAAATCATTCTTACTTTCCAACAAGAGAAATGGACATTTCATTCCCCACTTAAAAAAATATGAAATAAAAATAATAGTAAAAATCGCTTTATTTGAACGATGTAGTTGCTAACACACTCTTCTCAGACAACGAGATCTAATAAAAGTCAATTTTTTCTTGATATTCCCGCTTTAATTTCCAAATATACATTGTAAATATATATTTACGCATATATATATATATATATTTATTTATTTGGTTTATATATATATATATAAATTAGTTTTCCTTTTTAAGAACCAAATGTTCCATTCCATTCTTTGCTTTATTTCATTCCTCCGCACCAAACTAGCCCTTATTATATTTATTTTTTTCCCAAAATTAAAGCAATTTTCATTGACAAAGATAATTTTTACAAAGAGGCCTTATTATATTGCAAGGTGACAGAAAAATATCAAATATATTCACCAACATATATAATAGACCGATAACAATGACTCTTGATTCAAAATAGATAAAGATAATTTTTCTCTTTCTCTTAGAATGTTTATTCAACGAATGTCGCGTTACATCAGTCGATGACAAAAACCGATGTCTTTCAGTAAGTAGTGCAAAAAAACAGACTTCAGTTGGGCATGCAGTCACAAATTGGTGCTCCATTAGGCAACTGGGCACATTTTGAGAAATCGTAGGTCATATTTTTGTTCTTCAAGAATCCGATGCACACAGACTTGCAATGATCCTCAGCGCAGGGACCGATATATATAACATATATACTCTCAACAACGTCTGGCACTAAAATCAGAAACCCTAACACCATTACCAACATGACCAAAACACCCTTAGCTTCCATTGCCACAACCTCGATCTCTTATCTTTCTAAGCTCAAATCTGAGTTTTCAAATGGCACTACACTCTACACACAAACCACCTGATGTGTCCATATATATAGAGACATATGTAGAGAGAGAGAGAGAGGGTCCATGTATTTATTATACATAGTATGTACTGGGTAATAGGAGTAAATAGATGGTAAAGTATAATAATACATTACTCGTTTGGATGGAAGATTTGGGGGGATTTGGAAAGAAAAGAAAGGAAAGGATAAGGATAAGGAGTGTTGTGTTTGGATGTGATGATTTGAAGAGGAAAGAAATAATTTGGAAGGATTTAGAGGGATAGCTATCCCTCCAAATTCCTCATTTGGAATCTCTCCAAAATTGACAAGATTTGGAGGGATACGGAGAGAAAGGGAGCTAATGACAAAAGTATCCCTCCCATGGATGCTGATGACCACAAACTTCTTCTACGAATTGGTAGTTGTAGAGAGAGATAGCCGGCAGAAGCTTTGCGAATGGCAACCGAACTAGAACAACGGGTGATGGAAACCGATAGATATGGGTTTTGATTTGTTTAACAATCTGAAATGATATACGGATATGTGTTTTGATTTTTGGCTGAGAACGAGATGGAGGCTATTGGGGAGGCTGATATAAATATATATATATATATATATATATATATATTCTCGTATGGATTTTATTTTAAATTTTTTTCTAAAATCGACTAATCATGGTCTGTAATTCTTGTTTTGCAACTCTCTCTCTTTGCAACTACAAACTACACACACATATATATAGTTTGGTTTTGAGTTTTGGAACAATCTGATGATGGAAACTGATAGATATGGGTTTTGATCTTCTGATTCTTGTAAATTTTGTAGTTTGCAGTTGGAGGGAGAGAGAGAGGATTTGTGAGAACGATGGAGGCGATTAGGGAGGTTAAAATGATTTTGCCCTACTACCCCTACCAAAAAGGGTAAGATGGTAATTTCATTATTATCCTTTCCATTCTTTTCTCTCTGTTATCCAAATAACAATATTGCCAATTCCTTTCTTTTCTCTCCTATCTATCTAAAAAAATGAATATAAGTTATAACTATCATTTCTTTTATCTTATAATCATTTCCTTTCTCTTCTCTTCTGTGTATCCAAATGAAGCCAAAAGATATATATGGGAGTATTTTGAAACCATTCTTTTATGTACTAAATGTCTCTTAATGTAGTATTAAATGTTGTAGCGTTTATTATATATTAAATGCATATCAATCTTTGCCTTTTACATTTCATATCAAATATTTTTTGTCAAGTGTATTGTTACTATAAAAGCCTTTTATTCACTAAATATAATATTTGTAAATTAAATGCATAGCAATCTTTTTCTTTTACATTTCGTATCAAATATTTTTATAAAGTGTATTATTACATGTCAAACATTTTTAACATTTCAAATCTATTTATATATATATATTGTATTATAAAAACCTTTTATTCACTAAATATTTGTCTATTAAATGCATAGCAATCTTTGCCTTTTATATTTTGGTTCTGTTTGTTTCGACATAAAATATTCTTTTTGAATTTTTTTTTCCAGGTAAAATATTATTTTATTTTTACTTTGTCGGTGTTTGGCAAAGATCTACGAGGTTGATGTCGAGTCCATTGGGTGGAGCATATAAAATAACTTCTTGAAAATTGATGGAGAAGTTATTTTTGTTAAATTTTAATATTTTTTTCTTCGTAAACAGTTTACAACAACCAAACACTAGAAAATAAAAAAATATTTTCTAAGAAAATATTTTAAGTCCAAATAAACGGGGCCTTCATATCAAATATTTTTTTCAGGTGTAGTATTACTATAACAACCTTTTATTCACTAAATATTTGTAAATTGAATGCATAACAATCTCTTCCTTTTACATTTAAAAAAATATTTTCTGAGAAAATATTTTAAGTCCAAACAAACGGAGCCTTCATATCAAATATTTTTGTTAGGTGTAGTATTACTATAAAAACCTTTTATTCACTAAATATTTATAAATTAAATGCATAGCAATCTTTTCCTTTTACATTTCGGCTCAGTTTGTTTTGATGTAAAATATTCTTTTTGAAGAATATATATTTTTTCAGGTAAAACATTTTTTTATTTTTATTTTTGCAGTGTTTAACAAAGGTCTACGTCGAGGTTAAGGTTAAGTCCATTTAGCGGGCCATGTAAAATAACTTGTCGAAAATTGATAGATAAGTTATTTTTTTAAAATTTTAATATTTTCTTTATTCATAAATATTTTACGACAACCAAACACAAGAAAAAAAAAATATATTTTCTGAAAAATATTTTACGTCCAAACCAACGGATTCTTCATACCAAATATTCTTATAAAGTGTACACTATTACATGTGAAAATAATATGATAAATCTTATTTTATATATATAGAGAAATGATTTCGACGGCTCACTGGTAGGTCTGCAAGTTGGGCTGACCCAACCCAACCCAGTTCCAACCCAACCTCAACCCGAATTGGGTTGGGTTGGGCGAACCCAAATTGTATCTAACATGGGTTACAGTAAAAACCCAACCCGAATATTTTTGGGTCGGTCGGGTGGGGTTGACTGGTTGAGTTTTTAAAATTTATATATATATTTTTTTCTCGAAAATATATATATTATATAGATAGATATATGGCAAATCATTTCAGCCTCCCCAATCGTCCAGTCTCATTCTTAACTCTCTCTCTCTCTCCAACTTCAAATTACAAAATCTACAAGAATCAAAAGTTCAAAACCCATATATTTCATATCTGTGTGCAAGAATCAAAAGTTCAAAACCCATATATTTCAGATCATTTCAGATTGTTCAAAAAATCAAAACCCATATGTTTTAGTTTCCATCGCTGGCTGTTCCAGTTCGGGTTCGCCGTTCGCAAGCTTCAGCCGCTGTCTCTCAACTCTCAAGCTTGCCCCCCTCTCTCTGTGCAACTGCTAACTTGTATGTATGGGTTTTGTTTTAATTTTTGGAAGTGATGGCAGCGGCGGTGGATCGGCTGAGGAGGGATGTCGGGAGAGAGAGAGAGAAAGAGAAAGAAGAGAAAAGAGAAAAAAAAAAAAATTCGGGCCGAGAGAGAGAGAAAGAGAAAGAGAAAGAGAAAGAGAAAGAAGAGAGAGGAGAGAGAAAAAAAATTCGGGGAGGAGAGAGAAAAGAGAAAGAAGAGAGAGAGGATAGAGAAAAGAGAAAAAATAAAAAATAAAAAATAATTTTGGGTTTTGGGTTGGGTTCGGGTTGAGCCTGAGCCCAACCCGAATTGTCTTGGTTTTGATTAAACCCAACCCGAACATAAACCCGATTTGTGAATTGTGTGTCCAAATTTCAAAATTTCTGGGTTGGGGATGGGCTGGGCTAGGCTAGCCCGCCCAGCTTGCAGCCCTACTCACTGGTGATCAAGATGTTTTCTCCAGCCCGTTTGGATTGAAATGATATTGTGAACTGTGAAGTGTGTTTGAGTTGTCTTAAATGGAGAGAAAAGAAAGATTGTGAGAGATCTGAAGGGATAGTAATTCCTAGATCCCTAGTATGTTATTCTCTAAAAAATGAGAAGATTTAAAGAGAAGGGATAATGGTTAATTAATAATCTTATAATTTTGAAACTAATATCAACAATTAAATGAAGAAACTTGTTATGACACTTGAGTCCCATCTTATAAAAGGGTAACATAGTAACTTAGTTGTTATCCTTTATTTTCTTTTCTTTTATTCACATTTTCCAAACAAGTATGAAAATAAGCTCAGATAAAAGTAATATTGTCAGCATGAGAAAAAAAAGGGCAATTTACATAGATCTCCCTTATAGTTTGTCATAATTACACGGACCTCCCCTAAAAATGAAAATATCTTACACGGATCTCCCTTTTGTTAGAATCAACATCAATCAACGACGAATTGTGCTGATATCATATACAAAATTTAGTAAAATTCCTTTGTCCCTACCATCTATCTCACTCTTTCCCTACTCACTTTTTCTCTCTATAATATATTCATTTACTGGCCCACCATCACCGCCACCCCTGCCGACTACGGAGATAATGTTTCCACCTTTAAGTATGCATATACGCATATACACATCACCAATATCGCTTTCATATTAAACATACAAGAGCCTGTGCACTGATTATTCTATAATAGAGAAATCAACCGATGAATATGTGGCAACAAAGACACTGACGAGATTGATTTGAGTGATTGGGATTGTGACTGGTGTTCTCTGTTTAGGATTTGATAGGTTCTTTGAGTGATTGGGATTGGGATTCAGGGTTGGGGCTTGAGTAATTGGGATTGGTATTCACGTTTGGGGTTTGAGTAATTGGTGTTCTATGTTTGGGATCTAATTCAAAGAAGAGGAAGGGCCGAGAATTGATTATTGTTTTAAACATCCAAAAGACGAGAAATTATTGGTAGCAACGAAGGTTCCACGTCACTTTGTTGACAGGGCATCACAAGCCAATAGAATCTAGCCTTTTTGCACAGCTGTATTCCTCGCAATGTTCGCTTTCTCTCACTACCTCCAAGTCGTATACCTAAAACCAGCGCCGGCGTCAATTTTCACCGCCAGGTCTCTCCTCACCGTCATGGCCTTCCTCTTCACCTCTGCCAGGTCGCCCTCATCTGAGCCATCCACAGCCGCCATCATTCGTGTCGCAGAGATCCTTGTTCGCCGGCCGCTGTTCAGTCCAGCCGCTTCACCTCCGACCTTGCCTACGGTTCTGTTGTCTGCCCCTGTTTGACCCTCAGTCTTGTCATCGTTGGTGACCTGATTTTCTTTCTGCTCAGTTCTTCACCGGTGACCTGTCCATCTCTCTGCCGGATCTCTCTCATACGCATTTTGTTCCATGCCCTACACATTCTTTTACCAAAAAAGCCACGCCCTTTCCCACCAAACCTACCGTTGCTGCCATAACCACCTAGAAAGTCGTCGCCTTTAACTGTCTGATCTGGTCGCAGCGTCGAGGTCGTTGCCGAAGACAAAGACAAGACCCATCCCCGTAATTTTCGGATCCTTTATCGATACCCACGTCGTCGCCGGCGCTGGTTCTTCGGAACTTCACCTTCAGCTGCGCTCACTTCGCCCTTGCTGAGCCCATTGGCGTCGTCGGGTTTAACCGAGGATTCCTTTCCTTGCCGGCTTAGCTCTCCACGTTCTCTCCTCAATTACCGGTGCCGGAGAGTGAAGTGGAAGAAGGGGAATTTTGGGTCGACTTGGATGTAGTGAGAGAAAGCGAACATTGCGAGGAATACAGTTGTGTAAAATGACTAAATTCTATTGGCTTGTGATGCCATGTCAGCAAAGTGACGTGGAACCTCCGTTGCTACCAATAATTTCTCCCAAAATACACGCTATTGCTGAGTCGCTCCGCTCCTCGCGATCCTTCCGGTGATCAACTCGGAACTTACCGTGGGAATCGGCTACTTCATTGTTGTGTTTGAGCTTCTTGTGGTAGTAGGAATTTCTTTTGCCGTTCGGAGTGGTGCTTTCGGGTTGATTCTGGATGGAGGATTTGTCGCCGGCCTCGACGAAGTAGTTAGCGTCGACATTCTAAGAGTAGAACTCAGGGGAGTTACTGGCGCCGGTGAATTTATCGGCAACGATGCTCAGAGAGGCGAAGGTCTGGTGCTGGTGAGAGTTATTGTTGTCTTCTTCGGCGATAAGAGGGAAGTCCTGGTTGCATGAGGCCATGGGAGTGTAGACAGAGAAAGTTGGGAGGAGAGACAGAAGAGGGTATTAGACAAACTTTTTCCGACGAAGATGAGTTGTTCTCCGATGAAAAGCTCGTGTCTCTGCAGTTCTCCGCGATGCATCCTACAGTGATGCCAGTGAGCTCATCGGAGATTAGATTGCCGGAGATTGTGAAATCTCGATGGAGACCAAACGTCTCAGTACTGGATCCATATTCATTTTCTCTCAAGGCATCAATGTTGGTGGTCGTCTATTCGAGGGTCAATCGCGGTTGTAATCACAAGAGGTTTGATGGTGGCTATGGTGGTAAGGCGTGGTGGTGGTGGTGGTCGGCTGGAGGAAAACGTAGGTGGGTTTGTTGTATATATATAAATATTTAATAGTATATGGATATTTCAGTCACTTAACATACTAACTGAGGGCATTTCAATAAATTTAACTGGTATGTTAGTCTATTTAACAGTCCGTCACTGAGAGGGGAGGTCCGTATACGATAGTTTCATTTTCAGGAGAGGTCTTCATAATTATGGTAAACTATAGAAGAGGTTTGTGTAAATTACCCAAAAATAAACCCTTCAAATTCAATATATATATATATATATATATATGGTATATTGGTATGTATTATGTGTGTGTGTATACGTCGTATATATGGGTTCCCTCGCTAATAAGTTGTAAAATGTAAAAGGAAAAGTGGAGGGAAAATCGGAACCTTTGAGAAAATTCGAAAGGAAATGCCGAGAAGACGCCTGAGAGTGGTCTGTTCATCTGACGAAGAAGAAGAAGAGGACGAACAACGATCACAACAGCGAAATCAAGAAATAGAAGATAATATCAGTGATTATGATATTGAGGTTGAACTACAAGATCCCACTCTCAATCTCGAATCCGTAGCCCTAAATTCTTCCTCAAACCCTAACCCTAACCCCTCTGAACCCGTCCCATTCGAAATCTCCGACGAAGATTTCATGGACGTCCCCGATAACCTCTCTCCGCCCCCACCGCCGCCATCTACGGCGGAGCAATCGTTTCAATCATCTTCGGGCTCGAGAACTAGTGGTACTAACTTCAGTGAATCGTCTGATTGTCCGATAAGTGATGTTCTTCGGATGCTCGGTTTGAGGTTGCGAAGAGAATGGTTGGATTCGTGCATTCGCGGCCTCGAGAGCTCTGTACCAGGCTTGGCGAACTTCGATGTTGAAGTTAAGGCGAAGCTCTGTTTCGAGCAGTTCTTGTGCTCCGACATGAATTACTCCGGTGGCGGAGGTCTTCCGGAAAATGTGCATTCTATGCATCTTGTGGATCTCACAGGTCCTTTCGTCTTGCAGGTATGCGGTGGAATGTATAGACATATTAATTACAAATGTTGCATCTTAATCTAGATTCCAAAATTCGTTTGTAAATCATAAACATTAGACATTAAATGGAACAATGAGATTATGGATTGCTTTATGGAATTTTTATTCGATTCCCAACTGATATGTTTGCTAGAAGTAAATTGAGTATTCATTTATCAAAAATTTAATCTTGCATACTTATTTTATAATCCAAGGTATCTTTACTTAGAATTCCTTCTAATATATATTGGTTCTTTGTCGAATTGGTAAGTTTTTAAAATTACATTTGAAATAACCTAAAATATCATTCTATTTGGAACCAATTTTTATTATTATTATTTTTTTAATACTGATCTTGTTATACCTGCTGAAATAAACTTCAATGATGGTGATTAGCCTTGTTTTCACTTATTCTTGTTTGAAACATACTCTTCCCATTAAACCATTGAAAATGAATGTTCACAGATTAGACTTGACAGCCTATCATCAAATTACCAAATTTCTTTCCTGGTCTCCTGCTAATATTTGGAAAAGACTTATGTGAGAAGTTCTTTTATTGTATTTTTTATTTGTTCACCCTCACATTGAATTGCATTTTTCCAGGTTGATGAAATTATCAATCTCAGTTGTCCTCTCAAAGAGAGGTATCAGAGTGCACCTTCAGGGGTTAAGAGGTGCCTGAAGTTGTCAATGACTGATGGCGTTCAACGTGTGTTTGGGATGGAGTACCGACCTATCAAGGATCTTGAAGTTCTGGCTCCTGCTGGGCTGAAGGTTTTTAATGTTTTCTCTTTTCGATATATTTATTTTTATGTTTGGTTGTTAGTTAGTAATGAATGGATTTTAGGTCCCAAATGAGTTAGACGGTCATGAGTGGTCTGTTCATTTAAAAATTTTAATATCAGTTGACTGCCCAAATGAAGGGTTGACACCTCTAACTGGCCAAATATTGTTTCTTTCTTGGAGAAAATTAGTACCAAAATGTTGATCAAGCATAGATCACTGACCATCTAGTACTTTTCATCTTTTTCTTTTTTACTGTCAAGAAAGAACATATATTTTCAAAGTCTTGGCTGGATTTGTGTTAACCTTCTTGGCAAGGCTGTTGGCATTGATGTAGGTCTAAGATGTTGAATAGGTCATCCTTGATACATATAAGCATCAAAATGAAGTTAATGTGACCAAAATAGTAGCTGATATACTGATCAAATTATCAATCATGGAAAGAGGAAACCTAAAATTATTTTATCATGCAATCAGGTTGATTTTTGTTGTGTTACATAGTCTGGACTATTCTGTTTAGTTGTGCTTCAACCCTGAATCTGCTCTTTTTCTTGCCTAATCTTTGCTGGACACAAGGAGCAAGGTTTATTGAATATCTTCCTTGCAAAGTAAAATTTGAGCATATTCTGACTTTAAGTAATTAATACCTTGAACATTAATACAGACTCTGTTGCATTTTTTAGGTTGCCATTTGTAATGCAAACATAAGGCATGGGATTCTAATGTTAGTCCCCGAAGTTTTTGAAGTCTTAGGAGGATTGGTTGAGGAGTTGGACGCAGCACGGCAGAGGCTTGTTAATGAAATAAACAAACCACCAAGGGGAAAAAGGTATTTATGAGGTCCAACAATGATTTTATCTAGTTGAGGTCTCGAAGTACACCTTTCTAAATGATGCATCAGCAAATATTACTTCCCTTTTGTTTAAAATTTAAGACGTGATTAATACATTTACTTAATTGGCTTCTGCTCTTAACATTTCTCCCTTATCATGTGGCTGAAGAAAATGTTGATTGTAATTTAAAGTGTGGTAGTTTGATTCTTTTGTTGAAGTATCTTCCTTTCTAACTTGTCATATTCTTTTGACCACTTTATTTGCATTGGGAATGTAATTTTGGCCCATGATATCACATCATTGAGTGCATGCTTTTCACGTTGTTCCGAATTTGGCATCGTTGAGGATGTTTATTTGGAATACATCAGTGGTAATGTAAAATGCATGGTACATTAAGTTCTATTAACTCAAAGAGTAGTAATTTTGTATTTTTTTTATTGGTGAAACCTTACTGCTCATTGCTGATTTGTTTCTTCGAATTGATCTGATAGCTGACCTAATTTATGAACCTAAATTATAATTAAATACAACCACTGGCCACTTACTTATTACTAACACATTAACCTTCATTTACCCTATACTAGGACCAGGACAGGAGTGGTTCCTCCTTTAGCAACTAGAGCAACTCTTGCTGCGTGGCCACAAAACTGTGTCAGTAGTCCTGGGCACAACAATAATTCCACATCACAAGCTGCAATTCCTATGCAAGAAGATGAGCAAGGTATGCTGTTTCATAATTTATCATCAACTTATCTTCAGTTTTCTGAGCTTTAGAGGCCAATGTTGTTTGGGATCCTACTTAGGATATTTAAGTAAATGAGAATAGATTTTTCATAAGAAAATTATTCTAATTGTGAACAAGAAGAGAATTTCGGTGTAGTTGTCTTGTTTAGGACATCTAAGTGAATCTCAACCTTTGTTTTATGTATTAATTGGCCTCAGGACCTGACTTATCAAAACAAATTAATTAGCCTCAGGAACTGACTTATCAAAAAAAATGTAAAAGCAACACTCTTAAGGCTGTGTGGTAGAATTGGGAATTGACTTGGGGTTGCATGATTCTTTTTTTTTTTTTCTTTCTAAAAGAATACAAAAAGGATACTACACTTCTGAATTTTTTTTTTGGGATCCAGATAGATTCAGTATTTTTTAAATTGCAATAGTTTAGGCTAGTAGGATGCAGATTGAGATAATAACGACCATCTTATAGAATAGTGTTAATTAGATAAAGTCAAAGTTGAATCTGGTGTGGTGGTGCTGTCATGGAGAGTATAATCTTCTTCAAAATATGCTGGATTGCTGTTTGTAATAGAGCTGAGCTCATGAAACCTTGTCTGTTAGTTATCAAATAAAGAGAATCACGAGACCTTGTTTTCTTTAGGTTGAGACTAGAGACTTTCTCCACCAAAAATATTCTATTAAATGAAGGTATTTGTGCTTTGGATGGCGTCTCAAGACCAGGCCAGTGAAAACCTTATGTTCCCCGAGGAGGTTTTACCCCTGGAAACAAGAATCGGCGGACCAATCAAAGTAGATATGCCCCAGAATTGTTGTACATGGACTTTCCAACTGAAAGATTGTAATTCATAGACACTGTTGTCTGTGAACAAAAGAAAGCAACTAAACTATAGCCTATAGAACTCTTCAATGCTTTGTGACGCCTTGATTTTACTTGTTAAAGCTTAATTTTATTTGTTTTAATTCTTGATTTTGCAATTCATGTATTGTTATGATATACACGATTATAAAACACTATAATTATGGCATTTATGGATTTTCAGTCATATGTGGTACATATAAATCAAACTGTTCAAAGCATTATTATTTTTTTCCTTGTTGAAATACACACACCATTAATTAAAACTGGGTAGCAAACAGTAGAGATACACTCTTTCATCAATTGAATCCAGTGGACACAAAATCCCATCTTCCTCGTAGCTGCCTCTAGGTAATTCCATTCAACCCTGTCGTAAGCTTTCTGATGTCAAGCTTAATGGCCATAAATCGATCCTCTCCATGCTGCTTCTTTTTCAGAAAGTGGATAATCTCATGTGCAACCTCGATGTTATCAAAGATTTGACAGTGACAGTAGCTCCTTGTTCCATCTTGATAATTCTGTCCAGCATAGACTTCAGTCTATTTGATCGAACTTTCGAAAATATCTTGTATATTACATTGCAGAGTGCTATCGGTCTATACTGGGCAACCTTGGTTGGCTGTTTGACCTTCAGAATCAAAGCCAAATTTGTGTGGTTTAGACTCTTTAGCAGCCTTCCACTCTTGAAAAAACCATTAAAAGCTGAAATCACATTATCTTCTGACCACCATCCCGTACTTTTGGAAGAAAAGCGGAGTGCACCCCCAAGGAATTGTTTACGCCCAAGAGGAGTCGAACCTTAGACTTAATGCTTCATGAGGCACTTGGGCCAAGTGACTGACCCACTTGAGTCAACCCCTTGGGGTTGTTCAAAGCATTAATTTTCCTAAAGGTTTTTTAAAGGATTTTAGTGTTTCTGATTGAGGACTCTTAGATTGTTATTAATTCGTTTTTAGTTATGTTTATTGCTTGCCCTATTCCATCAAGTGCTAGAATTTGATGTTCCCATTATTTTATTTTCTTTACGTTAAAAACACATGAATCACATATAATTAATCTAAGAATTAAATATGCATAACTAGAAATTAGGTGATGAAGTTTCCAACTTGGAACTTTAATGTAGTTTCTAATCCCATACTTCAGTCTGTTATCAGATACATAAGATGACATGCATATAAAGACATTTTTCTTCGATCTTGAATTTTGACTGAAGTTTTGAATCTGTATAGAGAAATATCATTTTATGCTGATTTTTTTTTATGATCTGGCTTTGAGTCATGTGTGACCTAATGAAAGCAATGCTCCTGACAGTTTCCTAAATGATCATCAAAAGATACATGCTCTGTTTAATAATTGAAATTAAGTGTATTAGTCTACATGATAGACTAAAAGGAAAATTCGATAGTACCATTATTAGATCAACTATGTTCTATGGAGCGGAATGTTGAGCCCTAAGCAAGAAACAAAAACAAAACCTTCATGTAGCGGAAATGAGAATGTTAAGATGGATGAGTAGAGTTACTAGAAGGATAGGGTCACTAATGGAAGTGTAAGAGAAAAATTTAGTGTGGCACCCATTGGAGAGAAAATGAGAGAGTAGACTTAGATGGTTTGGACACCTACATTGGAGACCTAGTGATGTGTGGGTCAAATGAGGAAAACTCATTGTAATAGAAGGGTAAGAGATGGAGAGGGTGACCAAAATAACATGGGATGAGGTTATTAAAAATGACTTTAAAAGGTTAAACATAGTAGCCTTAGTAGGTGATATGGCATGTAATAGAAAAGATTGGAGAGAGAATTCGTGTGGCCGACCCCATTCATATGGGATTAACGCATGGATGATGATGATGATGAGTCTACATGATGGGATATGAATCATTTGATGCTGTTATTATTTGCCTGTTGAGGATATCATATCTGACTTAATTTTATTTGCTTGCTTGGGATACTGTATTACATCATTTTTGTCATCAATAATAAATTCTTTGCTGCACCTTATTAGCAAATTTAGATAAATTGGGGATGCATATAAGGAATTTATCATATTATTTTCCTCCTTTCTTAAAACTTTTTCGGGACACATATAATGAATTTATCATATTATTTTCCTTCTTTCTTATTCTTATTATTTCTTATAACTTTGATTTGTACCGTGTTACAGTACGTACTGCATCTGTTATCTCTACCAGTGAAAGGAACACAGAAGAGTCTGCTGTACCAATCAGTAGGGAAAATGCTGAACAAAATTTGTCATCTACCACTTTTATGGATGTTGAGGAAATTCATATGGTTGATGAGGAAGAACATCCATTCATATTGAGTGGAGATAGAGAAACTCCTTTCACTTATTTAGCTAGTTTGTCAGCAAAGTGGGCTGCAATGCAGGACACAGCTTCTAATGTTCAGGGAATAATTAAGGTAGATATGTATTTAACTTCATCTCTTCTTGATTAGATAAATTGATCTTTTTGCTATTACGCATTAAAGCTGCATTGTGCTGTCAAAACATATTATGTCTAAAATTCAGCTAAGCAAATTCTTGCTCCAAGAATTGGTAGTTGGTGATGAATTCTCGTTCCTATTCTTCCATCTAAGGTCAAAATCTGACAAATATAAGCGCATTTGCCCACTCCCAACGGATGTGTCAACATGAGTTCACGGACCACTAAGATCATGTCATATCATATTGACAAAAATAATACAGTAACCAGTAACCACTAACTGATGTCAACTACCATCATTTGATTTTGTTGATGCTCTTATTGATGGAATTTTCCTTTCAATGTTAAAATATAAAAATTGATGACATAAGTTGAGGCCGTTGTCCAAATGCAATAGACTGACTAATTTGAGTTAAACACTCGTGTTTATTGTCTTGCACATGTTGTTCTCTATCGATATTTTATTTATAATTTCATTGAGTTGTACTATTATCTTTCAAATTTTTAATCCCAACTTTGTTATAGAACTGAGGTTTATAGACTCCAATTGGTTGTCAACAATATCTATTTTAGAATTCATGCTATTGCTGGTTAACAATTTCTATTGAGATACCTAAGCATACCATAGAATAGGCACCCAAGTATAACATTCCATCCAGTTCGGTATTGGAGCATTGAAACTACTATTAAAAAATTTGTTTCCAGTCCCTTTTTTTTTTTTTCAGTTATTTCGTTTCCAGTCTTATTAGATATCTAACTTGAAAATGCAAATTTGTAGTGTTTTTTGACTGGTGTAAAGAAATTTCAATATAAGCAAAGGACTACATTTGAGCTTCGAGTTTATGTTGATGATGGTAGCCTCATATCCGAGATCCTTATTGATCACAATGTGAGTTATAAAATGGATTTAGATTAGATGCACTTTGATAACATAAGTTTGTTAGAACCTAATGTGGTGGCTAAATTTTATACTCTTCAGGTTGTGCAGAGAGGAATAGGTCATTCTCCTGAGGAGGTCACTGGAGCTCTCACTTCTTCGGACTCCAAGAGAGTGAGTGATATGAAGGAGACAATGAAACAGTTCCAGATTTTCTTAGTAAATTTTGAGGTAATTATGCAGTTTTTAGTAGCTTTCATCCAATACTTAACCTCTTTGTTTCAAATCAAAAGGGCATCATTTTCTATACGGTTACAACAGTTGATAAGTTTTTGCATCTAAGTGATGAGATTTTCATTTGGATTTGTTTATTTACCACTGGTCATGTTTGATTCAGGGTACGATGCTTGTACAGATGAATAAAGCCTCCCCTATTCCAATTGCCATTGAAATGAACCAGGGCTCTTCTGCATCTGATGCTTGGTTGCTTCTGAGAAGACTGAGGGCCTCTAATTCTGATCAGCCGCCACCACCACGTCACTTGAATCCCATCAACATATCCCCTTGACTAAATCGGCCCAGATGCTGCTGCTCATGTTCTGTAAAGAAGTCAAGCGGTCAGTGAAAGCCGATAACAATGTAGATTATACAACAACGGCTGTGGTTCACTGAACTCAGATTCTGGATGACACCCTGCACCGGAAAATGATCTGAAAGTGCGCAGAACTCCCATCAACAGAATTATACTCACTGCTTTGACTGGCTAGTTGAGTCTTCTATTGCATTAGTTGCTAATTTATTAAGACTTAATAGGAGACACTGAAATTTTGATGGCCTCCAGCAATACACACAAGTCATCCATTTGGTATAATAGACGAGGTAGATTAACTAGATTTTACTTTTGTCATACGTAATGGTTTAGAGGATTGAAATTTTATTAGATGTCAAGAAGTAAGTAAACTTGGTTTTGCTAGCACCGTGAGGGGGCAATTTATCTAGGTAAAAATGGAAAATCAAGCAGCGAGACCTTCTCAAAGAGCTCGTAAACAAGTCAGCGAAAACCTCTCTCTACATTTAGTGACTTGCACATAGACTACATTGGAACAGTTTTGATCTGATTATGAAGGTCTTTGTTCTTGTAAGTTCAGTTATTTATAGTCCAAACTTGTGTATTATATTACTCACACTATGACTATGATGTGTTAGTGTTTGAACTATTTAACCTCTCAATGAGATTTTTCCACATTGTATTCATATTACATGGCCTCAGGATCAAATTTATGGTTAACAGCGTTCTCAATCAAACTTATCTTAAGAGGTTCTGACAGAATGTGGGTATAGGTGTTTCTTCATGTTGAATGCCATCATATTTTCACTTTAGCACAGTGCTCCACCATTGCAAGTTCTGAAAAGGGTCATGTACGCGGAGAGGCCAATATTCCAATTTTGAATCTATGACCTTCGGTGACCTCCAAGTCACAATAGGGAAGGGGGCATAGAGCAACCATGCAAGTCACAATAGGTTAGGGGGCATAGAGCAACCTAGCAAGTCACACTAGGGCAGGGTCCAACTTTTATCCGAAGTTGAGATCAACCATGGAAGCCTCTTGAGGTTTAAGTGATTCAAGATTCTGCTCAGAGCTAGAATCCACCAGAGAGACCTTTGTTGAATGGAGGGCATTGGTTAAGATCATGAAGGGAATGACATATATAAGGAATAGCAGCTCAATCGAATAGGAACTGTCAATGTCTAACAAGAGGGAAACCTTAATCCATTATATATCACATTCAGTTGATGATACAACCATATAGCCTTATTGTAGAAGTATGTACATCACACAGGATTTCCTATACAACTCATGACAAAACCACCCACCGGATTATAGGGTCTGACTTAATCGGTTTTAAGTTCAGTCGACTGGAGAGTTTCTGGGTCGAGGATATTCTTAGCTCCTGTGTAGTCCAGGATCTTCTTGCTGACTGCTTCTGTATGTGAATCCCCTGGCCTAGTGAGATACAGCATCCTGAAAATCCACTCGATCACTTCAGGGCAAAACAACTTCCGCCAGTGGGTGACCCTTAACCATGCCAGCTCTGTCACGTATCTCTCTCCCTGGCAAGCTCTGTTCACGATTGCCTTGGCACAACTTTCTGTTCTTGCAATAGGCACGACACTCACTTGGACCTAATAGTAACACACATTTAGTTAACCAAGGAACATACATAAATCATTTTACATATTGTTTAGACACTATGAAGATTCACAGAAAATTGATTCTTTAGAGCGGTCTATGTGGAAAATACCTCTTGCATAAAACACACATAATTTCCAAATGATGCTTGCTTAATGAGGTGATTACTCCCATGACTCTAAATCGTGGTTTTACGTTCTCTCTCTGTTGCTAATTCAGCCTAACGTGTGATTGTGTAAGAAGTTGATGTTCGGATTTTCATACTAATAGTATCATTTAGTATTGTGCTTGATGAGGAGACAAAATTTCAAAGGAACAACAAAGCAAGAAAGCTTAAATCCCTCATTACCTGATCAAATTCTAGTTTGCCTTCCTTCTGTAGGAATTTTCCTTGGGTAAGTTCCGACTCTATAAACCCAGGAGACACCAGTGTTATTTTGATGTCGGACCCGAATTCGATGCGCATTGTCTCAAAAAATGCTGTCATTGCTGCTTTGCTTGCCTAAAGTTGCCATTGACGGAACTGATCATTAGCATAAAGAGAAAAACCAGGATATAAGGGGAGCATTAATCAGATTACTTACATTGTAGAAGCTCATTCTTGGCATAGGCATCCACGAAGTGGATGATGAGATAACAATTACCCTGCCTTTGCTGTTCCTTAGGTGTGGAGTTGCGTATCGGGTAGCGTAAACTGAACCCCAGAAGTTGATATCCTGCAAGGACAACCCAAAGAAGCTTATAAATTTGTCATCTGATCATCTAGCAATTCACTTGTCACTTGCAAAGATGACTCGGTGGTAAAGTTGTCCCAAACTGGCCAAGAAAAATGTTAAAAGAACCTGGGCAGGACAGCCTTATCCTGTCCTCACCAGCCCAGGGGGCCATGTTGGTTCTGGAAATTTCGAATAACGTACTCAAATCTTGGTGGGATTAGATTGAGCTACTACTAGTCTATTTCAGACCTAGTGATACAGGAGGAGATCTGTCCCACATCGGATCTGGATGGAAGAGTGATTGGGTATATATGGGTTGGGTGTTAGTCCCACTTAATAGCTTAGGCTTTTAAATCGGATAACGAAGCACCTAGTTGTTATATTTAGTATCAGAGGTAGATCCAATCCTTAATCCGGTGCCACTCTGGGTGTGCCATCCGGGGGTAAATCCTTAATCCGGTGCCACGCCAAGCGTCTGGTTTGGAAGGCCTCTGGGTGTGCCATCCGGGTAAATGCCTTCGATTTCTAACTGCATTCTAGCCTCCACCAATATCATTTTGCATCGGAAAACTGTCCCGGCATTATTCACCAAATGGTCCACTACAATGGCAACACAAGCAACAACACATACATTATGCTTCAAAAAAGCAATGGTAAAAAATGATCGAACACATGAAATCAAAGAAGACACTAGCTAGAGAGGAGCTTTGTCAATCCAACTCACGCTGGCGGAAGTGGTTCATTGTTTCATCAATGATCCGCCTGCAGTCATCCGCCTTTGCAACGTCAGCACGAATGATAATGACATCGGGAGAGCCCAACTCACTTGCCAAACTTGCAACCTCACGCAGTCGGTTCTCTCTTCTTGCAGCAAGAGCTAAACAAGCCCCTCTCCGAGCATACTCATCGGCAAGATGCTATGAAATGACCAAGATTTGTCAATAGAATTCACATATCACAATGCTCAGAGCATTTTTTTTGTTATATATATATATCTATTTATCTATAGTGCATATAGAACATTGTAGCCCAGAATGTGATTGCATTATAGGGTTGTATTGAACAGATCCGGCGAGTTCAAACACGTGCATTTTCAATGCAAGGCATAGTGCGACATCCACTTCCAGACGAATATTTAACAGATAGAAATATTCACTAGGAGTGGTAAGTCGAGTTATTATTAGTATTAAAATAAAATAAAAAATTTATAAATTATGATACATTTTTCTTTACAATCCTTAGTTTTCATATAAAAAATCTAAGATAAAATTATATTTATAAAAAAATATATATTTCATAACCCGTTATGTATGTGTGTGTGTGTGTATAACTAAGGTGATTCCCTTTTGACCTGTAGTCGAGATTCTCTTTTCCCCTATAGAATTTAATTTACTTACCAAGAATATGTAACACACACGTATTAAATACTATACCCTCTCCTTAATGAAGTTAATAAGTCCTATTTTTTCTTTCTAATAACCAAGAATATTAATTGTCAACAAACAATACCATTAAGTTCTAGTTTATTTTTTTTTTAGTTCTAAATCTCTTAAACTTCCAACTTTTCCTCTATAATTTGTAATTATATATTTTCAATTTATTGAATATTTATATTCAATTTTAATTTTCTCCAAAAAAGAAAGACTTCAAATTTAACTACCGGGTTGATTATTGTAATTATATATTTTCAATCTTGGAAATCAGGTTGATCCATTGTCTCATCTATCGGAATTAATGATAATTTGTGAGACATATAATCAAAATTCAAGTATTTTTTGTTACCTCACCGATGCCGGTGGAAGCGCCGGTAATGACAACGACCTTTCCGGCGACATTTTCGCTGAAGAGAAAGCTTAGGATAGATAGAGAGAACTTGAAAAACTGGAAGGGTGGTAAGAAAAGCATGAGGGTGAAGAAGGAAAATGGAGGTGCTACTAAGTTCAGGAATTGGTTTGTCAGATCCATGGCTACCTATTGTCACACACACACACACACACACACACACACACACAAAAACAGATATATATAGAGAGAGTATCTGATGAGAGAGAAGATGAAGATGAAGATGGTTTGGGTTTATAGCTTGGTGGCACTATTGCATGCAGAGAATAGGGACACGTAGGCGTAGCAAAGCGGTAGTCACGTAACACTTGTCTTGTATCTTCTGACATCTCTGCAAATTCAATTCTATCTTCTTTTGTACACATACATATATTTTGTTACATATAGTGCTATATTATTCTCAGACCCATACTTGTATAGGAAAATATATATTTTTGTTTTACTTTCAATGGTTATTTGTTAACAAATTCTCCTCACAAGATTTTGCTAGGTGCAGTTCTTACATTGCAATTTGCTCTACTCCACTTTCAAAACTTTTCCCGGCTCCTCTTCTCTCTCTCTCTCTTTTAAGTTTCTTATTTTATTTTATTTCATTTATGGAATTTGAATCACACATCTTTTTTTTGAAAGGTGAAAAAATACGAGACTACCACCTTTAATTTCTAAATGATTTATTAGTACAATAAAACTTATTCTTTATGGGCTCAATATGGGATCATGACGAGTTTAAAAAATTAAACTTTTGGGCTCGGCTTCTTATTATTTTGAGAAGCTCGGGCTTGGCTCATCTAATAACAAAAATCGTTCGGACTCGATTTGAGTTTGTGTTCATGATTGTTTTGGCTTGGTTATGAACATGTTTACAAACTTAATTAGTTTGTGAACCTATAAAAGCCGATGTTTATGAATGTTTTCAGGAACATATATGTGCTCTATATGAGCCTATGTTTGCGAATTTATACTAGCCTACACGAGCTCATACTCACGAACTTACATGAGTCAAGTCAAATACTGTTCAAGATCGGCTTGTTTACTAAACTAGCCTAGAAATCAAGTTTGAGCTTGGCTTATTTCCTTAACGAATGATCCCAAGCCAAATCTTGAACGAGCTCAAGATCGGCTCATTTATTACAAGCCTAGAAATTAAGTTTGAACTCGACTCATTTCCTTAACGAATAATCCTAAGCCAAGTCTTGAATGAGCCGAGCTCCGACTAAACGGAGCCTAGAAATCAAGTTCAAGCTCGACTAATTTTCTTAACAAATGATCTTGAGCCAAGTATTAAATGAACTGAGCCCCAACTGTTCATAAATAACTTAGTTTATTTGCGGTCCTAATATTGAAAGACCACACAAAGAGTTCAGTTATTTAAGAAATATTAGTCAATATGGTGCTAATTTTTCTTGACATGAGGATTAATCTATTTTAAACCAGTGTGTCATTTTTTTTTCCTGGGCAAGAAATTTACATACCCACGTACCCTTGTAGGGATTTGATTCTCGAGCTTTCATTTTTAAAAGGTAGAGAAAGTACTATTAGACTACATCGTCTTTGAATCAATTTGACTGATATATTTAGTGTATTATCATTATTATTATATTGTTTTATGGCAATTTTTCCAAAATATAAGATATTCTATTGTTTTTATTTTTTATTTTTTTTTTGTATAATTTTTTCAAACGGATAAATTGAGATATCATTTTAGTTCACTGATGCTGTCCCTAATACATTGCAGATGTTCAAGACATATATGCTGCCACATAGGGATACTGTGCATTATATATAACACACATTTTCAAGTAACTAATTGATGCATGTACTACATTAGATCCATAATAAAATGTTAATGATTGAGTCTAATATCAGTCAAATCGATTCAAAGGCGTCTAATAGTACATTCTTTACCTTCTAAAAATGAAAGTTTGAAAATCAAATAACTCATCTAATACATATTTTTAATTCAATGGTTGAATGTGGAGAGTTTAATACTCTTATCATGAAAGAACTCTCTTGACAACATTACTCTTAATAAAACATATGTATGAATATACATATATAAATATAAATATTATATATTTAGAGAGGGTATTGCTCTCTAACGTGTAGGGAACAACATACATGACTCTTGCTAATATTAATTATTGGATTTCGTCCGATGATTGAATTGAAAAAAACCAATAAACTTGCTTCTTTTCTTTTTCTTCTTCTTCTTCTTCTTTTTTTTTTTTATTTTTATTTTTTATTTTTATTTATTTTTTATATCAAAACAAGAACTCTGTTTTAATTTGAATATCCACAGCATGAAAATCTATTTCTGAAAAGCTGATTCAAATACAAGTAGTAGTTATAAGATATTTGTCAAACTCGCAAATAATTACCTAAGTAGTTAAGCCACAAAGCTTCTAATCACTCCAATTCTTGTAGGGATTTTGAGTTACTTTTCATTCCCTCCCTGCCCCTTATTGTTTGGGTTATTCTCAACCCTTTAATCACTATTACAAAGCAGTAGTGTAGCTTCAAGCTTCCTTTGTTTGTTAACCCTTGCAATGAAATCATCAGCCCTCTTGTTCAACTCTTCAGCAGGCAAACTAAGCAACTCTCCACCAAAATCCTCTGTTTCCTCTTTCCCTCCCTCCTTTTCCTCTGTTTCCTCCTTTCCTCCTGCCTTTTCCTCTCTCCATCCTTCTTTATCCTCTCCAACTGCACAAGCACCCTTCGCTTTTGCTTCGAAACACCTCTCCAATTTCTTCACTCTCCTGTGTTCAAGGGACGAAAAACTACGAAGCTTTTGACTACTATTAATGTACTCATCATAATAAACATCGCTAGCCGAAGAAGAGGGCTTGGATAAGATCTTAGACTGTCCCACAAGGAAGATAACAATAAGGTTTCCTACTATGAACAAGGACTTAGAGCTCAAGAACAGAGAATTGATTCTTGGGAGAGAGACATAGAGAAAGACATTCACACAAGAGCATAGAGGAGGATACCAAAAGGGGCTAGAAAAGAAAAGACTACAACTTAATGCTGTCAAAGAATAAATGAAGATGTTGTCTAGAAGTTGTTGCTTCTTGTATCTGTTGATGGCTTGAATCTTTTCTATCTGGATATGATCCATAGTGAATACACTACACAGATCAAGAGGCCTTGGCTTTCCTCTATTGTTGTAAATGTTTTCACAAAGAGGGGTTTACTAGGGTTTCAAGGTGGGAGGCTAAAGAAGTTGGGGAGGAGCTAGTTTTCATCTGACTGAACATATAGGGAAATGCAGCACTGGTTAATATAGTCGAAGAAAAAGTGACTTTAAATTTTTATTTTTATTTTTATTTTTATTTTTTTATTTTTTTTAATGTGATTCAATATATGCTACTTTAGTTTAATTTTTGTATGGGAAGATAACTTTTTGTAAAGGTATGGTAGATTGATTGGTGTTTATGTAGGGGCTTTTGTTTTTGAGCTACCTTGGCTTTTCACTAGTTGTTAGTTGTTTCGATTTGGTTCTACTTTAAAGGAATTCTCTATAGGAGCAAAAGTTTTTAAAGTCCCGTATAGGTAATTGTTAAGTTGTGGGGCATTATCTAGTGGGCTAGCTGGTTGAACGCTCCCTGAGCGAGTGTACCGTTCGAGTTGCATTGTGACCTAATTTTGATCCAATTATCACAGAGGTCTGGGGAAAGCGTTCCTTGAAAAAAAAAATTCTGCATTTTTGTCTTGCAGTCATGGACCCGATATCTAGTCTCTGTTGTAATATGCAAGTGTGCTAGGGTTTGTGGTGTGGACATGAGAGAACACTGAAAGCCAAACAGCCTGTTTTATATGTTGTTATGTCATGTTTACAAAGAGAGAGGGGGATTGGGGGCTTAAGAACTTGTAATCTTTCGCATAGTGAAATTTTGTTGCCAATTTTAACTATAAACGTAGACTATAAATCGAAACACGTAAATCTTTGTGTTTTGTACGCCGCATAGTTTTACCTTTTTTTTTTGCGGTTTAGTGATTGTGTTCTTGGTTTTCTGTTATTTGTGGACAACAATTTTTTCCTGTTACATAGCAGTACTGGTGTGAGATTATTGTGTAAACTTTTTGAATGAACTGACTTCCAACATACCTAACCATAAAAGCGAGTTCCACTGCAAAAGCAATTATGTTTACATTTCTTTCTCGGGCTTTTATTGGAAGAGATGTTTGAGGTTTTGGTTAAAGGAGGTACTTATAATTAGCTTTTCTTTTCATAATTCAGATAGTGGAAGCAAACTGTTGTGGTACATAAAAAAGGGAAAATAGTGAGGAAAAAGGTGCACAACTTCATGGAAGTGGGGTAATCTAGGTCATTATTTAATGCAACTGTATTGAAGACAATAGATCTACCTTTTGATTTTCGGCAGTGTTATTCAATCCCACTTCTTTATCCACTTGGCTTTATGAAATTTAATTGATTGGTATAATAATATTTAGATCCACTTTAAAATTAAAATCCACAAAAACTCTTATACCATGTTTGGCTGCGTCAAATTGGCACCTTGGTTTTGAAATGGGAGAAAAGTTAATTCAAAGTTTTAACTAAATTATTTCAAATTCCAAACCCAAAACACTGATTTGATACTCTCAAACGCAACATTATCTATTTTGAGTGTTAATTAGATTTCTTGTATAGACTGTAATACCCCCTTCCCTAACCATTAGGGTTTTGTGTGCAGCACTACTGTACCTACTCCATTAGGGTTTCGTGTGCAGCACTACTGTACCTACTCAGTTGTCATTTGTAGCTCGTATATCACTCACCTACCTCATTCTTCTCTTAAGTATAAAATCATTGTGGACATTGTGATTCATTCAATACATACATATATTCTCATATATTTGACATTGAGATGTCACTTTTTTCAGAATATATGATTTGTACATATACCAACTTAACTTTAGATCATCTCATTTACAATGATTCATTGCCCCATTCGACATGATGGAGCAACACAATGTCTAATTCATGTTATTTCAACAGAACAGTTTCTTAAAAGTAATTGATCAACTAATAAAAGTTGAAAATAGTGAACAGTTAATTACAAGCTTAGGTTTAGAACTTCTTACCTAGTTCATTGGCTTCAATAAAGTTGTAGTAAGCA